AGCCTTTATTGACAGGTTCATCTGCTGCAGTTGGTGCAGTATTGATGTCATGACAGCAGATTTTAACTTAACGCAAGCTGCTAACGATCAAAATGTGGAGCTGACTTCCCTTTCTTTAGCTAACAAATATATAACAACCATTACTCTATTGTTCTTGCTGAACTTTGTCAGTCTTAGTCACCGGTATCGATTTTGTAAAATACTACTATCACTTCACTAAATGCACTTTTAGAAGTATTTCATACAACACAGCCTGCAGATACAGTTGAATCTTTTTTCGTTCTTACCCACTGACATGAAATAATGACTCAGGCTTTCCTGTTTTAGGTAGGTTAGGATTTACTAAATGCTGTCACCACAGATTGTTTTAACTATTTCCTTAAGAAACCATGACATTGTTTCTGGATTATTGGAATAACACCAGCAGGTACATTCTAGGACCACACCTAAAATACGCCTATTACAAGTGACATGGCAAAAACAAATAGACCCGGCAAGGATATCAAAATAAAACTGCAGACCTTCATAATGTCACAATAACACAAGAAAAAAACTTACAGATACCAGAAGTGGCCATTTTCATCTATAACCAAGATCAGCTATAACCAAGAAAGTAAAAATGTGGGAATATTAATGAAAAATGCCTCTTTGCAAGAAACAAGTTATTTGAAATTCATGTGTTTCAGAGTGGAGCATAGATTTAAATCATTAAACAAAAAGGTGCCGTGGCAAACAAGCCCTTTACCCAGACTGGCTGGAGGGTCACTCAGTAGTGATGTATCCATTACTAACATCAAAACCTACAAAAAGAGATTACAATGTTCTGTGGTGTCTGAAATTAAAGTTTTTTTCCATATTGTACATCGTTACATTTGGAAAACAAAAGAGGAAAGGTTGTGGGCTTGAGAGGACAGTCCTAGATGTCAAGCATGGTGGTGGAAGCATCATGTTTGGTGGCAGTTTTGCTGCAAGAGGGACTGCTGCACTATATTGTATGTGGAAATACTGAAGGCACACTTCAAGGCATCAGTCAGAACGTACAAATAGGTCCTCCCAGTGAACAATGACTCTAAACATACCAGCAAGGTAACTAAGGTAACTAAAAGGTAAGTAAAAGGTGTAATGACAGCTAGTTTCATATCAACCATGTGTCGTACAGGTTAAAAGGAAGGTTCAGGACGTGGAGCCAGTGTCAAGATGACAAGTGAAGACGATTCAGCCACAGAGTGCTGTGAAAATACTTTTGAAGGAAACCAAGACTCAGGTATTGTTGAAACTGTGGCTTGATACCAACACCTGAAATTACGGTAGCTCCTATCCCTATTCTATACCTTTTGCGAGAACAGAGGTAAAATCTTTATCCAGGGTAGGAAAGGAGCTTTGGACTGCTGTGCTGAATCCAGACAGCCATGAGTCTTAGGAAGGTCTAACCCTAACCCTGTGGCTGATACACACCCGAATGATGCTGGTCAAATTCGAACTACAGCCTTCTGCAGAAGAACTACAAATAAACAAAAGTTACACAAATGAAGCTGGAGCTAAAATTCCATCTGGAATCTTATCAACCTCACCTGGGACACCTGGGATGTCCCTCAGTAAAGTTTCAGCCAATCAACATCGAGACCACACCTCCTCCAAAGACAATGATCTAAAAAACCTTTCCTTTAGCATCTCACCTAGCTTCCGTGCTTCCCAGCTTTGCAACATCTCGTTCCCTCACTCTCTGACATTTCTAAGTCCCACTCATCCTCTGTCTTATCCCACCACCAGTGTCCGGGGAGGAAGACTTATCCTTTCCCTAGGTTACTTATTGAAGCGAATATTGAATCACAGCATAAAAGTCTTCTGTCGGGGCCAGAGCGACAAATTACTTACTTCACTTATTTTTTCAGCATTGCACAACTTTGTCCTCACACCCTCAAAACCCCGCCCGCTTTGCATCCAGAAATTCCAAACACATCTCTGCGTTGTGATTGGCTCGCCAGTTATAGGGCTCAGGGCATTGATCAAGGTTAGACCACTCGCAGGCAAAAATGATTTTGGCCGCTGTATAGTGTTTACTGCAGACGTTTGGATACAGCCAATTTTTTTGTTGAGCTGTGCCTATACATCCGGTTATATCAAAGATTGTGGGCAACCGTATAGCTCCTAGATTTGGCTAGTAAAATCCAGAGGTCCAAATGCTAAGGATCCTGCTTAGTGGTCCCACCTTATTACCCTGTGTAGCATAAAAGTTTAGGAGTGGACATCTCAGTCTACCATGAAATGAGTGTGCAAAGCTGAAATGCATCTTATACACCTAACAGTAACATTAGTTCTGCCTGAAGGAAATTGACAAAATGACATGTTAAAAGCATGTAGGATACGCAAAGGGAGTCAATCCTGTTATACATCTGAAAATTTACCAAGTCAGTGAAATATTAAGTAAGTTAATTTAAAAAACTCTTTTTTATTGTTCTGATACTTCAGAAATAGGGTAAAATAAAATGAATATTTTTTCTCTTATCTTGGGCACAGGGATTTAGGAAATATGGGGCACTTTGAATTGAGAAGACAACACATAAAAAAGACCCATTATACAGCTATAGATACACTATATTGCCAAAAGTATTTGCTCACCTGCCTTGACTCACATATGAGCTTAAGTGACATCCCGTTCCTAATCCATAGGGTTCAATATGACGTCGGTCCACCCTTTGCAGCTAGAACAGCTTCAACTCTTCTGGGAAGGCTGTCCACAAGGTTTAGGAGTGTGTTTATGGGAATTTTTGACCATTCTTCCAGAAGCGCATTTGTGAGGTCGCACACTGATGTTGGACGAGAAGGCCTGGCTCTCAGTCTCCGCTCTAATTCATCCCAAAGGTGTTCTATCGGGTTGAGGTCAGGACTCTGTGCAGGCCAGTCAAGTTCATCCACACCAGACTCTGTCATCCATGTCTTTATGGACCTTGCTTTGTGCACTGGTGCACAGTCATGTTGGAAGAGGAAGGGGCCAGCTCCAAACTGTTCCCACAAAGTTGGGAGCATGGAATTGTCCAAAATGTCTTGGTATGCTGAAGCATTCAGAGTTCCTTTCACTGGAACTAAGGGGCCAAGCCCAGCTCCTGAAAAACAACCCCACACCATAATCCCCCCTCCACCAAACTTTACACTTGGCACAATGCAGTCAGACAAGTACCGTTCTCCTGGCAACCGCCAAACCCAGACCCGTCCATCAGATTGCCAGATGGAGAAGCGCGATTCGTCACTCCAGAGAACGCGTCTCCACTGCTCTAGAGTCCAGTGGCGGCGTGCTTTACACCACCGCATCCGACGCTTTGCATTGCACTTGGTGATGTATGGCTTGGATGCAGCTGCTCGACCATGGAAACCCATTCCATGAAGCTCTCTGCGCACTGTTCTTGAGCTAATCTGAAGGCCACATGAAGTTTGGAGGTCTGTAGTGATTGACTCTGCAGAAAGTTGGCGACCTCTTCGCACTATGCGCGTCAGCATCCGCTGACCCCGCTCCGTCAGTTTACGTGGCCTACCACTTCGTGGCTGAGTTGCTGTCGTTCCCAAACACTTCCATTTTCTTATAATACAGCTGACAGTTGACTGTGGAATATTTAGGAGCGAGGAAATTTCACGACTGGATTTGTTGCACAGGTGGCATCCTATCACAGTTCCACGCTGGAATTCACTGAGCTCCTGAGAGCGACCCATTCTTTCACAAATGTTTGTAAAAACAGTCTGCATGCCTAGGTGCTTGAATTTATACACCTGTGGCCATGGAAGTGATTGGAACACCTGATTCCAATAATTTGGATGGGTGAGCAAATACTTTTGGCAATATAGTGTAGTTTAATAGAATAGACATACATTATTTTTTCTACTAATGTCCCTCTCTACTTGTCCCTTTTCTTGTTGTTTTCCTCTCTTTGTTTTGTACTCAGCAGACTTTTCATGATGCCTCAAAAGGAATAAAAATTTTTCCAAGCACTAAGCTCACTTAGCTGATTGCTCCCTCCGGTGTTTCCCAAAAGGCAACAGCAAAAGTAAATAAAACAGTCCTTTCACTGTAGAAAATCCATGATCTGCTTATCTGTTCTCCATTTTTCATTTGGATGAAATAATAGCTGTATTAATCCTGACAGCAGACAATATAGAAGAGAGAAGCAGGCGGGGTTACCAATCTACTCGCTCTGGAGAGCAGAGTTCGCTGCTTTTATATGTTGTTGCCAAAGTCTCCAGTAGCAGAAAAAAAATCACTAGATTTGGCGTTAGGCACTTTTTTTTTAAATAAAAGTGCTAGAGGGGTCTTAAGTTGGTATTAAGTTGGCAACACTGCTCTCTCTCTCTCTCTCTGCTGTCTCTTTTGACTTTACTGAACATGTGCAGCAAATGGACTGATCCAATGTATAGGACACTGAAGGGGGGCCCTTCGAGATACACTTAATATTATAAGGTTTCTGATGGCATTTTAGCGAAGGATTTTTATCAAAACATAATTAATGTGCACAAATAAGGAATAGTTGTATTAACCATACATGTAAACAGTTTTATGGGGCCCCAAGTTCCTTGGAGCCCCAGACAACTGCCTAGTTGACTCTGCTTGGGCACAAATATTAAACTTCCCACATCTAAATATGGAGCTTTGCACAAGACGTGTTAAACACATTTCATCTGGTGGAAACTTCCCTTTTTTAGTTGAGCAGAGACACACAGTCGACCTGAAATCAGACATGGTGGCAGCAACAGTGACTTCCCCCAAAAGTTATAATTTACAACACAACAGTGGAGTTTTTTTTTTTTTCATTCAGGCTGAATATGAATCGCTGCATGATCAACGCTGCCTTTAAAGTGTAATAATAGAGAAATTAATCTCACTGTACCAACATTTTTTTTCATCTGAATCGCTGTTTAATTTTTAGGCAGAGTAAGAAATGTTTATTAAGAAAAAAATAAATAAATCTCTTTTATCTTGGAGGAAAAACGAGCAGCACAGACCACCGACGATGTTCCCTTAAAATTACTTTTTAAGTTTATTCAAAGAAAACAAAAAAAATATATAATCAGGAAAATACACAACTTCCTGTCATACACAGAGAGGACATAAGTTAGAGAAGCATGGCAGAAACAGAGGGAAACACATTGCCTCACATCCAAGCCTGCAGGAAAAGTTACTGCAAAGTCACCATGGTTAAAATGGCAATAAGTGAATACCTGAAATGAACAACATCTGTTCTTTATTGTTTTCAATGTAGGTTGCTTAGGAGGGAGGTGGTAGAAAAAAAATAAATATCCAATTTAAAAACAAAACAAAAACAGGCTCATAAAGCAGAACCAAGAAGTGTAAGGAACCCAGATGCATTAAACATAAATACCGTGATGCACACATTAGTGTAACAAACATTGCTTCTGTAAACATTTTTTTCCACCTAAGGTGAGCGTAATAATATTCAACCACCGCAGTCGCATATTTACGTGTACATAGACTTACAGAAACAACAAAAAACTAGCACGTTTCTTAACTACCTCTAAAACTTAAGAATACACAATGCTTCAAGTGTTTTTTTTTTATATATATTTTTTAAAACAATACCTAAGAAGTGGTTTTTAATAATAGTTTCACACGTTTTAAATGCTGCCCTCTTGGCACTGGTTTTAACTTTTACCTGCAAGCGGACGCTTTCTTCCACCAGCAGAAATGGTATCATTGTTCGCCTTTTATAAAAGTCATTGCATTAATTTATAATAAGAGTATAATTTTCATAAAATGGATGCAGCCATTCTTCAAGGCCTTTAAGCATTAAAACAAACACGGTGGGTACTACTGCGAACCTCGGACAACGGAACTGAGGTTCTAACAGCCTCTCCATAAACTTTAGGACTGACAGGGAGCTGCTGAAGTATGTGTAATGCTGTTTGCATCCTTATAAAACTTTGAATATGTAGCTGGAGCACAAATGGATGAGCAACTTTTTTTTCTTATAATCTGTGGAAATGGAGGAAAATCCAGCGGGACAGAAGGAGGAGATCAATACTGCAGCTCGTTGCTCATTATTCCAAATATACAGACATCTTTAAATCTAAGTTTGAGGCGAAGAGAAAAACCAGCATCTTCATAAATCAGAATATCCACAGAAAAGTTCATTTATTTCAAATATTTGGTTCACAAAGTCCAGATTAGATTAGATCTATTCAATTATTTGGATTATGGTGGATTATAACTAAAGGAAAATAAACAAGATTCAGATTAGCAACTCAGGGTTTCACATACGACTAATAACAACAGATTTCTGTGACACACAAATGTTATGGCTGAAATAATCCTAAAAAAGACTCATGTTGCTGATAAACTAAAAGGTTTTTAAAAGTTCAGAGTGCTTTGACAAGGAATAAGCATGAGAAGTTAAGTGGAAGGAAAAAGTGCACAAACGGGAATAACGGCATCCTTGAAAGGATTTGTGTAAGAAAGCCCTTCAGAGGAGATTAAGGACATGAAGACTCGATGTGTTCGGGACACGGCCTTGTCTCGAGTCACTCCTGAACCAGACCCAGAAGTGACTTACCTGAACTAATGTGAACAGGACTGGACTGTCGTCAAAGTAGTCCTTTTAGATGAAGTAAAACAATTTGATTCAAATCAACAGAAATTCACACTTAAATATTTACTCTTTGTTATAAATTTGTAAATGAATTTCATAAGTAAATGAACTTTTTGATAATATTTTAATTTATTGAGATGCACATGTACAAGAAAATGTCAAAACAACTTTGAAGCATGAGGGGGAAATAAAAAAAGATCTGCTCTGTGTCGCCCTAAAAAGACACACTTCATCACAGCAATACTGAAGTCCAAAAGTGTACGTTTTGAAACAACAAAGTTTTAGTCCTCATGTTAAAGCAAGCAGGGCTCTCAGGAAGCCAGAAGACGAGGGAGGGAGGGGGGCACGGCTGCAGGAAAGAAAAGTACATCCACACTCGATGAGAGGTCTGCTTTTATTCACTTTCATTTGAATTGAACACCTAGAATTGACCACTTGTGACAAAGATACAAAGAGAAACATCATCTCATGCCTTGGACCACCACACAGTAAGAAGTCTCTCTACATTCTGGACACTTAGTGCATTGAGTACATACAAATAATATAGATGGAAGATGAAGTGAAAGAAGGAAAATGGAAGATAGTCCGCCTCCTGCACCTGAAACTAACCCGCTGAACCATGCGTTTGCCTCCCTGCCATGGGAATTCGATTCGCCGACAACATCGAACTCTCCCGCCACACATACGCACACACACATGCTAAACTTTCCTCTAATTCATCCGTCCATAAACACCGCTGAATCGCTATTCACAGCACCACCAGTTCACCACTTCTGGCCGTCACAGCTGACGACGAGCGTCGGTTCGATTTCATCTTGCTTTCTCCACATACAGCTCAAAATGGAGGAAACAAGCGAGTCGCGGCCTGAGGCTGAATGTGCATTAATGGAAAAACGAAAGCTTAAAGACACGTTTAACTCCTCTTTGTTACACCTCTCTATAAGAATTCAGAAAATACTAATTTGAAATCCATCTGCCTGATCGGTCCTTTCTCCTTCCTTCGTCCTGTTAAAGAACATCAAACACGCTCCTATTAAACACCAGGTCTCACCCACCTGCTAGGCTGCGTCCAGGGTTTCGGATTGATCCTCCAACCAGGCGTCAGCCCTCAACCGCCCAAAGCTGCTGTTATTTACATCACTGCAGCACAAAACAAGACTAACTCCAGGCTTCCTTACAGGAGGCAGACCTGCAGAAAGTAGAAGCTGTAGAAGTGATAGTAGCGTTTGCAAAACTCCTAGCTAAAAGACATCGATGTTACGGACCAACCCGAGAGCACGGAAACGAAGCAGAAGTTCGACATCGACCCCATCGTGACGTGACAAGCACCGAGACAGCTGAGAGAAAACACAACGTCGTCTGTCCTGTTTTCTGAAATTCACAGTTGTTTATTTTCTACCTCCCTTAACGTCTAAGCTATTGATTTCACTTCTGCAAGAAAGTCGTCATTTCCGGTATTTCTGAGGGGCGGCGACCTTTTCGTGGCCGTCGCCGCGTCGCAGGTTGAGCCCCAGAACCCCGGGCGTCGAGCTCTAGAAGCTGAAGTTGTCGCCGTCGGCTGCTCTGATGGGCCGGTCGGCTGGTGTGTCCGTTTCTCATTTCGTTTTCCGAGGATTGACAGAAACATCAGAGGTGGGTTCTGAGATCCAGTGTTAGCGAGGTGGGGGACGATGCGAAGGGTGAGGAGAAGGAGGAGAAAAAACGGAGGGCGGGGCTTGGACCTCTACCAGCTGAGAAGGTTGCTTCGGCCCAGAGTCATGAAGTAGACCTGGCTGGAGCCTCCGGGTCGAACCGAGGCGAAGAACACCTGGACAGGAGACAGAAGCGGGTCGGAACTTTAACTGGGTCTTTTATTTAACAAATTACTGACAGGTCTGTTAAAGAAATATTTCCTAAAGTGCAAAAGGTTAATAAGAAAAAAAAATGTCTTTATCATTTCCTGTCTGGGTTTTCAAGTTGAAAATCCTTCAACCAAATAAGAAAAATCTAACCCATAATCTTCCCTGGGTTTTATGCAAACGGGAAGTAAATCTAGAAAACAGAGAACAGAAACTTGGGCAATTTGTAGTTCCTTACTCAGCTGAGCGAACAAAGGCTGAACATTTAGAAAATTACTTCAGTCTGATGCTCTGCAACGGTTTTTAAATCCAGATTTGTTCAGGATGATATAAAAATCTTATATAAAACAGGTGTTTTATATAAGACGTTTAATATGGAGTCATATTCAGTCAGAATACTTCAGAATTCTTTGAGCAACTCTGGAACATCTTGCTGAAAAAAAAAACAAATATGTGGTGTAATGTGAACTCCGTACTCGTTCAAACCTTTCTTTTCTGTGTTTTTGTCAAACTACAAACTTCAGTGTGTTTTCAGATCAACAAAAAGTTACTCAGAACTGTGAAACAGGGAAGATGACAGATGCTTCTTACTGTCTTTACACATAAAGATAAAATAAATGTTGTGGGCCAATTTTATTTATTTTTATTCAGCCTCCCAAATGAAATCCATCAGTGAGCGACTCAATTTTGGAGAATCTATAAACAAAACAAAATGTTGTACGTTGAATAAAATGGAGATTTATGAAAGTGTGATAAGAAGAAAGCTATTGGGAAAACAACAAAGGTCCAGTCCAAGTTAAAACCATTACATGATAAAAGCATACAACTAACAAGCCCACAACATTCATATGATGAAACATGGTGGTGGCAGCATCATAATTAGGAGATCCTTTTCTTCAGCATGACCAAGGCTGGGGGTCAGAGTAAATATAGAGAAAAACTTATTTGAGTTTTGGCTTGTACAAACAAACAGCCAAAGCCTGCAGATCAGAGGAAGGCTTGTAGTTAAAGCAACCAGGAACCATAAATCATTTTACTTCATAGTACCAGTTAAACATTACTTAAAATTTGTCGTTGCAAAACTATAGAGGTCCCAAATGCTTGTAGTCCTGTGGTTAAATCCCCAAATATATTCTTTGAATTTTCTGTTTTTTATCATCAGTTCCTGTCAGGACTCCTGTCTGTGTGTTTCTGTGTTTGTCTCCCTTCCTCCACCAGGAGGCGCCTGGTTCTGGTCCGCCTCCTCACACACCTGCTGATGGTTACCCCGTTAACGGAGTGCTCTTAAGCTGCTGACTGCCACTACCTCGAGGCCAGAGTGTTTGCCAGTTTTGGGTACTCTAGCCAAGCTGAGTTTTGCTGAGTCAAACTGAGTTCTTGTCAACCTGAGTTTTAACTTTGTTTTTGTCTTTGCCTCTCGGCAGGAAGTCATCCTGCAAACTGGATTTTTTGGACCTTCTATCCCTGAAGGATCAACTGAGCTACAAACTGAGCTGGGGTTCAAACAGGAGGTTTGGATCCACTTTCCCCAAGAGATCGTTTGAGCTTGGCACTGAGAAAGGGATTCATCTCCACTACGACCCGTTCAAGTACCGCAGGAAATCTGAGTGGCAGTCAGTTTCTCCGTTCACCTACTAACAACCGCTTTCTGGGTAAACTCTGTTCCGCCCTCCACCGAATCAGACAAACACTGGAACTACAGCATACAGACTGGAGTCAAAGATTCAACAACTTCTCTGGAAACGTGAGTCAGCAACCAGATCCTTTTCTCCAAGTTCATGAGTCAACTGAGCCTGAACTCACCGCTGTGTCTTCCCCTCACTTTTCAGTTCCGGTTGAGCAGTGTTCAGAGCAACACTTCTCTCTGAATTATCTCTTCAATAAAACCTGTTAAACCTTTTCCCTGATCTCTCTGTTTGGTGTTCTGCGTTTGGGTCTGAACCTTAGTAAAATCATGACAGTTCCTTCTTTTTTTGACAACACTGTCTAACATTTAGCCACTAGGGGGCGATTTCACTGGTAAAATTAAAAGGTCTCACTCCATGTTGATGTATCTGATCGTAGACCCCTCTGGACCAGCAGATTTAAGCCGGGCGTACACTGTAAGATGTTTTTTGCCCTTTTCGGGCCTACTCTCCAGTCGTGCAAGATTTTTTTTCGATCAGGGCGACTTTAGCCTGATCGTTTGTTATGCGTTGTGTAGTATACAAGGATAAACGAGGGGCGATCAGTCTCTCACCACCACCTCCCGATCAGGAATTTAAGGTCGGGAGAAAATCAAACAGGTTTAGAATTCAGTCGGCCGTCGTGGGCCAATCGCTCATTGCCCAAACAAGGATTCTGCTTCTTCTTCTCTTCCTTTCAGACGAAAAGACAGAAGCATGGAGTGAAATGGAGTGTCCTGGCGCCTGTAAAGAGGACATAATACTCAAAGAAATTGTAATGATGATATGCGCTGGAACGTTTGCTCAGTTTTGTCTTTATCCAAATATGTTGTCGCCTTTTCTTTTTAGGGCTTTCAGCACAAAATTGCACAAATTTCCAAGGCAGCACGTTTCTCTCTAGTGAGCTTCAAATTTCTCTTCCACTCGTTTGGCTTCCAGATAGACGATACCGAGGAGTGACATCTCACTGCGGAGCTGAGACCGACGTGGTTTTTAGACGTGCAGTGTGAACAGGTAGATCGCTTCGGAGCGTTGAGCCGCACAGTGTGAGAACAAACTTCTTGAGCTGTGAACTTTTGAACCCTGTGGTTTTGTCGTACATTGTGAGCCGTAGCTGCATGCAACGATTGAAAAACTCGTACAGTGTACGCCCGGCTTTAGACTTTTTTTTAGAGTTCCTTGTAAAAACAAGGACACATTGACTCCTTTAGATTAAATCATACATCAAAGAACCGAGAACATGTCTGATCAGCTAAGATCCATGTCGGTTTAACTGGCTTTTAGCTTAGTCGGCACGGTTCAATTGGACTGTCATAAAAGCATCCCTCTGAGCAAAATGACTCATTTGGCGGCGGATCTAAAATTATTTCAAATTAAGCTTTTTCTGGTTAAAAAGTTATTCAATATTGCTTTTAAGTTTAAATTACTAAAAGGTTATGTTCAGCGATAATGAGAGGAAGCAGTGTGAAACGTTGCCATGGTTTTTACCTTGTCATTTCTTTCACAGAGGAACTTGAGTCTCTGGGCTCTCTTATGCATAAAGACTCCGTCCAAATGACCCGTCTCCACGGAGCGGATCTCTATGGCCTTCTCCCCCCAGCCCATGATCTGATTGGATCGAATGTAGGCTAAGGAGAGATTTACAAGTATTAGTACACTGCAAAAATTGAAATTTCATCAATTTTACTTCAAATTGTCATATTTTCTCTTGAAATGAGCAGATACAGTAAGTAAGACAATTTGCCAATATATTATTATTTACTTTAAAATACGATTAGGAACTTTACTATCTTATTTTATCTGTATACTATCTAAGTATTTTATTGCAAGGGCAAAAATTACTCATTCCATTGGCAAATCCTGCTTAAATTAAAAGCTACTGCATTTAGTTAATATGGAGGAGGACGAGTGCCGGAATAAAATAAATAACTTATGAAATAGTTATTTAAATATTATTAATATTATATTCATTAATTTATTAAAACTGGATATAAGTACATAAATGCATAATTATTTATATGGGCCTTAATTGAATAAATTGGTTTCTTTTTTTAAGAAGTGAGAATAATTATTAAATGCTCCTGCACTAAAGCAAACCATGAATTTATTTAAACTGTCACACATCCTTCAAAGTCAAATAGGCGGGACTAGGTCCACGTCCCAAGAAACCCTGATATCTGATTGGCTGCTTCTTACTGAGCGAGATAACAAAACTTAGAGGAATTCTTAAACAAAAATTGTTTTCATTTCCAGTTTTAATAAATGAATGAGGTATTTATATATTAAATAGTGGCACTCATCACCCTCCATAACCTGAAGTCATTTTTCCTGATTGTTCTAGTCACTCACCAACTGAGGTGGGCATCTCGCCCCACTGCAGCACCACGTCCTTGGTGATGCGCCCGTAGGTGTTGACATAAACGCCCTCGTCCTCGTAGCACACCAGCAGCTCGATGCCGTCGGTGTTAGGGAGGATGATGATGGCGTGGGACTGGATGTTGTTCTGAATCTGCAGGTGAATAACGAGGATGTATTCATGTGGTCTCATTATTTTTAAATCAACTCTGCAGGGTTTTGGGGCGGTCTTACGTGGGTCGGCAGGTAGATGTCATAAACCGCCCCCGAGTCGACGTCGACAGCGTGGAACCCTGAGCAGGAGCCGTAGATGACCTTTAACCTTTGCCCTTCCTCCACAGTGAGGTCAACCAGCAGGGGCTTGTGCACCAGGTCGCCAAAAGACTGAAAGTAGACCAAAACATATAAGTTAAGTCATTTACAGCCAAACATTCTGCCGCAGCAGGAGGGACGAATGTTGCTTTCTTTGGTTGTAATTTGGGTTCATTAATCATCAGTTCTCCACCTTGAAGGCCATGAACTTGTGGTACGGTTTGGGCGCCCAGGCGTAGACCTCCACAGAGTTCTTCAGAGCCAGAACCAAGAACTTGATCCTCTCGTATTTTACTGGGGAAAAAAATTAATAATAACATTCAAATTAAACATCAGAATGACACAAAAACTAAAAATGTGGTGGGGATGCTTTTTACTTCGGTCACGTTGGTTGGGTAAAAATCATCTCTCAAAAGAAGTGGATTTTTAGTTCAGGTTGGATTTTTATATACACTCAAAATGGGAATCCATTTAAGACGTTCATGGGAGTTTCTAGACAGGGGCCAAGGGGGCCAGTGCCCCTGTAGATCATGTCCTGGCCCCTGTACTGAAGAAATAATACTCAAAAAAATTCTAATGATGATCTGAGCTGGAACACCAAGGCTGTAACTTTGTAATAAAGGTTGGTGGGGACACTCTAAGGGTGGAGACTGATGAACCTACAGTTACTCAACCCAAACACTTTCATTAGGTTTTTGTATTTTCAAAAAATGAGCTCAAACATATATGTATTGAATGTTTTCCTATTGTTGAGAACAGAAGAGAACCAGATTACACTGATATTTATAATTATAGATAGTTAGAGAGATGCTTTTTTTAGTGCATTATATATACTTTATAGGGCCCAAAAACATTAAAGTATAAAAAAATAACAAATACAGTAAAAGCCGATTCCAATGCCAAAATCAATATATCTTGCATCCCTAGAAGTACAATTTCAATTCCATCTTCTTGTAAACTTTGTGGTAAACTTGGAGATATATTTCATTGCATGTCCCAGTAAATCTGTTTCACCTTTAAATCTGTAGCTCTCCCTACTTCTCTCTGAGCTCTGTTTAAAAAGATTTATAAAGACATTTACTATTAGCATGATGACAGAAAAAAATTTCAAGATATGCAGAAGCTCTGTAATCTGATTCTGTCTGTACAATAAAAAAACCCACCTGTAACTGTGAGTCATGGACCTCTGTGAAGCCAATATTTTTTTAATTATTAAAGAAGAACACAACATTTAAACTATATTTTATCAAGCTTCCTGCATTATAAAAGTTAGTATAACTTACATAAACTTAAACATACATAAACATAATCTGTTGCCCTTTTTAGCTGAAAAAGCTCCGTATGTCTAACGAATAGTGTTGCTAATAAAAGAGTGAATCCAGTACAACGTTTTATTGCCTACCTGGAATGGGTGGCAATAGTTGAACAAACTTTTGGCTCTCAAAGGCCAAAATAGGGCGACATTCATAAAATTATAACATGTATAATAGTAGTGTAACAGTAAGACAGTAAAATTACATTAATAATTGAATAATCTCTTTTAAACCCTGAGTTTTGGCTCTCAAATGCCAAAATAGTGCAACTTTCATGAACGTATATAACATGTATAATACTAGTGCAACAAGTAAGAAAGTAAAATTACTCACAGTGGACTGGAGCAGGCCAATAGTGATAGTTAACAAAAAGTTGACTAATAAAAAGTGAATCCAGTGTAACTATTTATTGCCTACCTGGAATGGGTGACAATAGTTGAATAAACTTTTGGCTGTCAAAATGGTATTCATGTCCCCCATACCACCATTTTAGTGCAGTATACTGGTATTGGTGCAACACTACTAATGCGCAGATTTTCCGGTGATATCTCTAATTATTTTAACCAAACCTGTCTCCTAACTTTTACTTAAACATATATCGAAGTAGCTGTCGGTCAAACTAACTGAGTGCTCCTATGTGTCTCTCCTTCAACCATGTAGCTACTTTGTATGCAGTGAAATGCGACCGCAAATCAGATGTCTCAAAGTGACAGATCTGATGATGTTTCACTAAGAGGCGGGACATGAGGGCAGCACAAGAGGAAAAAAAAACACTGAATGAAAACGCTATGAACACAGCTAGCTGCACCCAACATCTGTTACCTTTGGCTAAACTAAATCTGTGGAAGTTATTGGTGGGGACATGTCCACACCAGTCCTTCAGAAATTTACGCCTGTGGCTGGAACAGATATGGTTACTGATAGGTCCTTTGGATCTAATTTCATTGTTTTTCTTTACAAATTCTGTTTTACAAATTATTTAAAATACAATAAGGTGATAGTATTGAGATAGGAACCCAGTTTTCATCTGCTAATTTTTTTTTCAAAACAATAAAAAAAAATTACTCTAATTTTTACAGCTGAATTTATCAGTTTTTCAGTCATTGTCCTGTTCGAACATAAAGTTGCATCTAGTTTTAAACCATAAGACGTAAACCGTCACTTTAATATGAAACAAAGTAGTTTGAAAGGTTTATAAATAACCTTGAGAGCATCCAGTCTGCGGCCTGCATGACGCTGCAACCAGCACCACCGTCCATTTTGCAGCTGCCCTCTTTAACAAAGCAAAACCTTTTTTATAGAAAATGTTTTTGTTCCGTTTTGTTAATTTCAGCCAAAGGGACAATAACAATGTAATAACTTATTTTGGAGCAGTAAAGATGAGTCATTTAACCATGGCTGCAGCAGCCTGATGCTAAAGGGTTGTTACACTCTCAGGTGGCATTTTTACAAGACTTCTCATTAATATTATTATATTTTAGGACGGATCTGGATAAAAGGCGTCATGCAGACGCACCAATGGAAAGATTGTGATCAGATACATCTTTTAAAATGTACATAATTGATTATTGATTATGAAAAATGATCAGATGCTTCTCTTAACATTTTCAGGAATGCATCGACTCGGACAAAATCTTTTTAAAACTTTTAAAAGACCTCTTTTTTCTGTTGTGTCTGTGGCTAAGCCATAAATTGGTGCAACTTGCTCCTTTTTTGTCCCGTTTGCCATGGGTTTTTTTTAGCGTGAATTTAGTACAATCTGTTTTGTGAATACAGAGCCGAAATAAAAGAAATACTGTAATAGGTGAAAGAAAAAGAGGCATCAGGCTACCACACTCCTTCGTACATTTGAATAATGCAACAGACCTTTTTTTTTTTTTTTTTTACTTTGACATGATCGCTTCAAAGTTTAAACAAATCACTTAAAGGTATAGAGGAGGGTATTTTATTTCCGGCTGGATCATCTAAATAAGTGGTCCACCTAATTGTCAATCATTCTGGTGATATGTTTACATAAGGCAGTCCTTCATGCTCGCACTAGCTATCTTTTTCAGTCCATGCGTACTTTCAGGCGCATGCACAGTGGTTTTTCAGAAAGTCATTGAACCGCACTTTTCTCACCGCAGTTCTTTGAAAATGGCAAAGGGTCATACGAGAAGTAGTGTCTATAAATTCAATTCAATTCAATTAAATTCAGTTTATTTATATAGCGCCAAATTCACAACACATGTCATCTCAAGGCACTTTACAGTTCAACCAGATCATACAGTCAAATTGATACAAAGTTTTCTATGTAAGGAAAACCAGTTGATTGCATTGACTCATTGACTCAAATACAATCCCTCACACTAAGCATGCTTGTAGCGACAGTGGAGAGGAAAAACTCCCTTTTAACAGGAAGAAACCTCCAGCAGAACCAGGCTCAGTGTGAGCGGCCATCTGCTGAGGCCGACTGGGGTTCAAGGAGACAGAAGCAGAGATACAAGCAGGAAAGAAAGGCCTCAGAATGCTTCATATGGAGAGGTCTCCTCGCAAAGCATTATGCTGTCACAGCGGCGACTAATAGCAAAGATGGCGCAGGCACCGTGCGCTGGAGGAGGAGTTATGTGACCGACGGGGAGCAAAGAGTAGTGAACATCTGTTCCAATAGTAAGTTAACTGAGTTCACTATAAAGTCCACTATATAATCCCCGCTCTATATAGTGATTGAGGGATTTAGGGGTTAGAGCGGATGTTCGGACACAGTAAGCTTGTATGAGCTATGACAATTGCAACTTTTGAACAGAGCGTGCAGGAGGAGAAATGCGCTCGTGCAAGCATCATCTGCTTCTTAGTCCTTTGCCTTTTCATTGTGAAACATTTATCGGAGTCCCCTTCTTTTCTAAACCTGTTAGTTAATAAACGAACATCCATCAAGTCTCATTAATAATGGGAAATGGATTTATCGACTGACGGCTCCAGTAAAGACAGTGGAGTTTCCAACAGGAAGTGCTCAGTGGCACTTAAATCACCAAGGGTATTCTGAATTTTAGACAGGAGTGTTTATATGCCTCCAATTGCCATTATAAAAAAAAAAAAAAAAAAAATTCTTAATCAAGGGCTTTCTTTCCACTACTTAGTGCTGACGTGCTTGTCTCGGTCATATTAAGCATCTTTATCGTAGGGTGAGTTTTTAATGCTGGAGTTCCCTGTTAACATCAGAGGAGACATGATTTTCTCAAAGAAAAGATGGGAGGAAAATATTTGGTTAGTGTCTTAAACCACAGCTTTTCTCTGGGTAAATATTTCAGTCACATCCAAATGAGTCCTAAAAGGAGTGTTAACCTAAAAATGTTCCTAAAAAGGCTTTAATCGAGGTTAAGGTTTGTTGTACAGCATTAATAATGTCAGCATAACAAATTAATAAAGGCTTTATGTTTCCTCACACGATAGTTAAAATGACTCTATCCCAACCATCGAGTATAAATTCACATGATGACATTAAGCTGTCTGCATCTATTTCACTGAGAGTTTAATTTTTCCCACACACTTAAACCCCTCCTCCAAACTGCATTATTTTCTCCGTGGCACGCACACTGCAGCAACCGGCAAACAAAATATTGCGACAGCGGGTGTTTCAGTGGAGCGATACATGGCAATGGTTTGGATCTCCCACCCAGGATGTTGAACTAAAGGTGCAAAAACCATTGCTTGCAAAAGGTAGGAGTACAAATTTATTACAGCACCTAAAAAGTAAATGAAGAATGTTGTACACTTTGCATGCCAGCGTCTCCCCGCACACATATTAAAACATTAAACAAATCAGCTGTGAAGCCGATGACATTAGCCTCGTCCTTTTAAAAAGCTATCTTATATGAGAGGATAACGAAGAGGTGGAGGGAGATCACGAGCGCTGTTTATTACGTGATCTAAATGTTTTTTAGATGCTCTAATACCGCTGATGTGATGTGGTCTTGTACAGGGGTTTTGCAGGCGTTTGTTTAGAGCAGTTAGTTTAGAGATGCTTTAATAATGCTCTAATTTTTGGTAGTGTTGCACTGATACCGATACCAGTATCGGGCAGGGCCTCAATCCAGCACTAAAATGTTGGTATCGGTATCTGCGAGTACCAACAAATAGAGCACTGATACCATTTAAGAGCCAAAGTTTATTAAACTATTGTCACCCATTCCAGGTGGGCAATAAAAAGTTCTACTGGATTCACTTTGTATTAGTCTTTTTCCTGCTTCACAAAGGTAGGCAGCAGCTTGACAAAGCCATGATGGCAATTATCTTACATCCATGTAGTATGCAGTTCTTCATATACACACACATCAATTTCAAACAGATGGTATCGGCCGATACTGTACAGCCAGGTATCGGTATCGTTGCCAAAAAAATTGCATCAGCGCAACACTATTTTTTGGACAGTATCTCAACTTTAGTTCTTGTAATTTGAGGTTAATGTAGTTTTTTTATTCTGCATTTTTTCATATAAATACACAAATGAGCCCTTTTTTTATTTCACATTTTATTTAGTATTTGTTTGCTGGGATCTTGTTAAAGCTCTAATACTGACAAACAAAAACATGATGTGGCAGTATTATATGTGAAAAGCTTTGAGCTGGTTAAAATATATACATATTTTTTATTTGAAACCAAAAGTTAGAATGAGTATATGAATGCAATGTTATGCACTCTATTGTTTTTGAAGGTAATTTAAACATATCATGATATATCGCGATATAGCCCAAATATATCGGGATAATAGATTTTCTTCAGCCCCGCTAAGGCGGGAAGAGAAATTTCTATAGATTTATGGACACAGCTTTAAAAGGTTTGGTTGAATTTTACGTACCGACTTTGTAGTGAACACAGCCTTCCAGATCCCCTACGGTGGTCCAGCCCTGTTTCTTCTCCACTTCAGGATCGTTGTGAAGGATCTTGTTCCTCAGCCAGGACAGGTAGTACACACGCAGCTTGTTCTTTTTACCTGGCATAGAATAAAAGATTGTTTATTTGTTGTTTTATTTTTTGTTTTAATCCAAACCATCTTTATTTTAAAGCACTTAGGGCGCAACATACTAGTTAAGTCCATATCAGTGTGTGCAAATACAGTTCTAGAGATATATGGATCCAAAAAGCCCTACGAATAAAATTGGCCCCATATCAATTAAAATTATATCATTTTGTTACAGTTAACCTCATCCCATTTATTGTGTCTAAAACTCATCTGCAGGCATCATTTCTAGTGAAACACTGTTTTTACTTTATTTTAATAATCTGATATGAGTTAGTGACTTATGCTTTGATAATCCTTCAGTTTCTCTGGAATATTAAACCTCTGCCTCTTTTTAAAGGAATCTGTAGCAGATTTTATATCTTGAGTTCAAGTTTACACAGATGTGCTTTAAAAGGTTTTATACAGGAACGAGCAACTCTAATTTAATGCTTTTTAATGCTCTTAGAAATAATTTGAAAGGCATCAAAAAGTACCCATGACTTTCTTATATACACGACAAAGTCCTTCATCATCTTTACCGTCGACAATTCCTTGATTTCCAGCCACTTTTGTTGCCATTTTCCCATTCTCTAGCTTTTTCTCCGTCTCGAGCTGCTTTTCCGAACATACGGCTTTACGATCAACCGGAAGCAGTTACACGCAAATATATCGCGATATAATATATCTGAGAAATTGTTTTTATAATAAATTTTTTAATTTTATTTTTATATAAATCTGCTAGCATGGTCTTGTGCTAAATGAAAATTAGCCCCTTACTTTTTCATTGCTAACTTTGACTTCCCCCTCTGGCCGTCAGGAAAAATTAACAGAAAAGCCGCAACTGAACCTCATGGTTCAAAGCCTGGGAATAAAGTAGCTGCTTATAATCTGAAAATGGGAACTTATTTTATAGTGCGGGATGATAAAAAAGGCTTGATTAAGTGATATTTGTCAAACAGAGAACAATACTTAACAACATCATTACCAATCAACATACATTTGTATCTCTGCTTCTGTCTCATTTAACCCTAGCCGCTCACACTCAGCCTGATTCTGCTGCAGGTTTCTTCCTGTTAAAAGTAAGTTTTTCCTCTCCACTGTCACTACAAGCATGCTTAGTGTGAGGGAATGCCTTTGAGTCAATGCAATTAGCTGGTTTTCCTTAGACAGAAAACTTTGAATCAATTTGACTGGATGATCTGGTTGAACTGTAAAGTGCCTTGAGTTGACATGTGTTGTGAATTGGCGCTATAGAAATAAACTGAATCGAAATTGATCAGGTATTATTTACATATTCTACATATGATTTAAATAAAAGCAGATAAAACTGACATGTTTCTCTGGGCTATTTTAGGTTGATATATTCTGATATTAATTATTTGGCTGATACTGGACCGATTTCTGTAATTAATATCTGATAAACACAGTCCTAATTAATGACATATGTCTAAATTATAAAGCAGTGAGAAAAACCTGGTTGAGAAGGATTAAAAACAAACATAAAATCAGAAACAGTGTTTCCTCATTTTTTTATATATCAAATAAATGTATAATTAAAGACACAGAAGACATCTGGTGGAAGACAGGCTCTAATATGATTTAAGTGATCAGCAGTTGAGTTGATCCATCTCCATGAAAAACCATTATTCTCTTGCGTTTTATAAGGTTTGTGTAACATGGACACCTTTATTTACGTTGTCTCCTGGCAATTTCATTACATCAGATCTTCAGGATGTGGTCTACAAGCTCACAGAAATTTCTTGTCACGACACAAACGGCTTGACATGCAGAAGAGCAGTTGTGATGCGTAAACACTTTTTACAAGTCGGAAATGCAAATGAGTTTCCCAGAAGGACACGGACGTCTCTGCGGCGTTTCCTTCCATCATGGAAAAGCTCTGCTGTGTGTCAGAATCACAAAGTGTACGCAGACAACATGTTCCTCACGCAACATCCGGTTAGCTCAAAATATATGTTGTGACACGGCGCGTGGGATATTGAGAAACAGGAGAAGGAAGGGACACTTTCAGTCTGAGAAAATTGGGTTTAAATTGGTCTGAAACTCGTGTGTCTTTGCATCTTTTTGTTTTTTTTCTTTGGGGGGGGGGGACGTGTTACAAGGCTTTTTTCCCAGCAACCCATTTGTTATACAGTATTACAGAATGCTGCACGTTTTACTTGCACTTAATGTTCCAGTACTATAAACCATAGAGAAGTAGACTAGACTGAGAGACGGATAGAAAGAAGTGAAACTAGTTTTTAGTTTCAAACTCAATTTGAAGTTCTCTATATTTTCTGTATCTCTGACTATTTTTTTGTTTGAAAATAGTTTTTATCTGAATACACCTCTGTGAGGATGCTTACCTGATATAGTTACGAGGACATTGAGTCCCTCGAGGACATCCATCTGCTGGAAGCGCCGTCGGTTGATCAGTGGGTAAACTTTTCCCTGACCGCTGCGATCCAGCAGCATCAGGCCGCTCTCTGTCCCCACCAATAAGTTCACACCTTTAAGACACACAATGAAATGCACATATATAATTTTTTTATCCTGATCTTAAGAAGATAAACAGTACAGTTAAAACGTGCTTTTCAAGTGTTGCTGTAAGTTAAAAATGTCTGAATCTAAGTCAGACACCATTTAGTGAAAAAAGCTCAGACAATTATTCAATTTTGCTGGTTGATGTGACGCCATATGTCAATCCATCATGGAGGCACGTCAGCAACTGGCCAATCAGACTCGTCCCAAAGTGGAACCGCCCTCCCTTACAGGAGCAGCTGAGCCCCTCTAGGGATTTCATACAGGTATTAGGAATACTAAGTGGAAATCTAATAAAATGCTAAAGGCAACATGCAATTCAGACAAGCTCTGCCCCAGAGTATTTAAAGGGGTCATAGATTGATTCTATAGGGTATTTGGTGCTGGTCCTTAAGGTCTCTGAATAGGGTGTATTGATTGGGCTGAAAATTGCATATTTGCTGTTCCATGAGCCCTAATGCAAGCCTGATTAAAAGCCCTAGAATGAAACGACAGGTTTTCTTCCTTTTATGGTATGCTCATGAATATTTAGATGAGCTGTGTGCTGATTGGTTGGTTTACAACGAGCGAAGCAGCTGAGCAAAGACGCATCATAGCAACAAGCACTTACTCACTGAAAAATCAAAATTGTTGATATGGTAAGGTGACCAGACGTCCTGTTTTTCCGGACGTCCTACTTTTCATACCTAAAAAAAATTGTCCGGGATTTTGGGCGACTACAGTGCAGCAGAACCGAGCTGTGAGCTCCGGGGCTGGTTTGGGAACCCTGGTGGACGGGGGCAGGGAGCCAGCGGGGCATGGAGTGACTGAACCCGACCCTTGGGCCATTGAACAAGTGGGTTGGTCTGTATTTCATTTTCGTGACAAAAGTATACACCAGAACCATATAAAGCAACATAATTACATGTCACCGAATTGACATCAACTCAGCGCTTTGTCTGAATTTGCCCGTTTTATGGTGGAAGTTTAGAGTTGTGAGATTTGCTGAGAAAGGAGGTGTTGATGGGGTTTGAACTTCTCTGTACGTCCATTTCACCCACTGAACTATCGTTATTCATCTATGACACAATGTTTTGCATTCTATAACCATCTGATGCTGTGATTGAATATCGCCTAGGATATTGACCAACTAGCTGGATCGGATATTGCTTGAACGACGCAATCATGTCATTACTATTTTTATTGACGTCATACACAGCAATACAGTTACAGGTAGTGACTTCAAATTTGCAACACTAATTACGTCATACTACAGAGCACCCAACGCAGCTAGTGATGATTTCAGTTCTTTTTTTAGCAATATTCATATTGAGCATCATGCCGTTGTAGGTACCAGATCTGCTTGGGTCTTGCGCATGCCAGTGACGTTGCGCTACACGATTGGCTGAACATTGCCACATGATGTACAACATTGCGGTTGCCCAGACAACGATAATAACCTCACGCAGCGTCCGTTAGCGTGTCTAATGAGCGATGAAATTTCACCTGAACGATTACAAAACTGAAAAACATCTGTTTATGGTGAACAAAGTCACTGCAAGACCATTATATAAAGGGGTTAGAGCCGTTTAGCACTGTGGCTAGCTGTGCTCAGTAGCTAACAGGTTAGCCTCTTTTAGCTCGGCCAGTTAGCCATATTAAGCTACACTACTTTTTACTTTCTATCAATAACAATCATTCGTTTTCTAAAAGTAGAATAACTGTTTTGTTTGTCTGAAATCTTTAAAAAGGCATTTTTTAAGATGTCCCATTTGTCCTTCCTGCCCTCCGATCTTAATAAAAAGAATAAAAATAAGCTAAGAGTTTTTGGAACGCAGTACTTGCCTTAAAGACCGACAATGATTGTTTTCTACTTTCGGCTACTTTAGATTGCCAATGAAATGTAAAATAATAGTAAATATAGGTATTAATATGTTGAAACTCCAAAAGAAATCTGGTACCTAAACTAGGGTGACCATATTTTCGTTTGGTAAAACCAGGACACCTTGGAGCGGGGGGGGGGGGGGGGGGGGGGGGGGGGGGGGGGGGAGTGTTGATTGAAAGAACAAATGTCTCATCATCGGGATTATCTCCGTGATCAGAGGAAATGTTACTTGGCGCAGAACAGTGGTGAAAATTGGAAGTTCAGTTTAATGTAATCCAGTCAGTGAATAGTTTCGTCTGAAATGAATGAAAATAGTTGTTTTAATGGTTATTGAGTCAGATATGTGGCGGTAATGTTTGGTTTATCTAAAGGTTTTTATCTGTTACTGTGTAAATGAGTTTGGCTGTAATTTAAGGACAGATTCTAATAGATCTGCAGAGTGGGAACTATAAATCTGATAGGAGTTAAATTTTTTTATTGTTGTTTTGCACAATATGCTTAACTAAGTATTTTTTGTTGTTGAATATTAGAGATTTTGCAGATATATTTTGTAGATACATTGTTTAGATTTACTTATATATTTCTAACCCTTTTATAGAATAGAATAGAAAATCCCTTCATTGTCCCACAATGGGCACATTTACAGCAACAGAAAGATTATTGAAAATGGTCACACAAATGAGGACCTTAGAAAAATGTATAAGAATAACATAATAGGAAAGAGTTAAAATATAAACAATAAAATTCTGTAAAGTGTTTTAACAATATAAAACTGGAGAATTAATAACCAATATGCAGCTATGGACATTTTTACAGTAATAGATATTTGAAAATAGCAACATCAGAGATGTGCAAAATGACAGCAGCAGGTTATTTAACTGACTAAGGTTTCTATCATTACATTTTATTTTATTTGTTCCTGCTACCGGTGGTTGGAATCTTTATTCAACTCTGGATTCTTGTGAGTGTAGTCTTTGTTCACTTTAACTTTTTAAAAAATAAACAAACAGTTTTGAAAACCTCGGTATTGATTCTTTTCCTGCTTTGTGTGTCAACTTTCACGGTTGCTAAGCAACAGAGCATACGGCGGTAAAACCCGCCGAAGGGTGGACCTCTTCGAATTTACAGCCAAAACTCTTCCGGCCTCCTTATTTTCAAAGACTTCGAAGGATCCAGTCTAGGTAGACTGCGTCCTTGGAGGATGCAGCCCAGGTTTTCGAACAGAGCCTCTGATTAAGAGCAGGGCTGCCCGCACTGACGCGGCTCAGGGATTACGTCACACGGAGCGTCGTGCGCAGTGAAATCAGGACATTTCCTCACTTTCTAAAAAAAACCCGGGACGCCCGGGACAGGACGTGAAATACGGATATGTCCCGGGAAATACGGACGTTTGGTCACCCTACCTAAACCATTAATCACAAAGCTAGGTATACAATTATTTCATTAAGCAGTAGTATTTGTGTTGGTATTTAGAGTGGAACACAGACAATTATAGTCCCATAATTAGGTGTCCCAATAAATTTCTAATTTCTAACACTTTCTACTTTCTGATTTCTAACACAATAGTGCACCTTAAAGATGCCAGTATTGACACGATACGATATACGCACAAGTCACACATACTTATATTACTTATTTTGTGGTCTGGAATGTTAATGTTTGATTAATTAACTTTGATCAAATAGAGATCAATAGTCAGCCGATGTATCATGATATCAGTCACTCCTAGAGCTTGGACTGTTACCGTGGTGATGACAGCTTCCTGTTCATTTAGTGCGAGAAAAGGCCCTCTCAAAAGCTGAAGGGTAGCTGTACCCTCTAGCGCCATCAAGGGGTCTCAGTTCAGCTTAAGAGAACTGGGAGAATATCATGTAGGCATCTGAGCACAAAATGGAACTTTTTGGAACAACAGCAAAGCTACTGTGAAGCATGAGGGTGGAAGCATCATGCTTTGGAGTGTTTTTCTGCATAGGTGACAAGACGACTGATTTGTCTCAAGGGGAAGGATAATCAGGGCCGTATATCGGGAGATTTTAATCCAAAACCTGCTTAGGTTAGATAACTGAACACCAAGTTTTTCTTCCAGCTTAAAGTCGTTTATTTATGTCAAATTAAATCCAGTTAAAAAAACTGACATTTTTTTTTCTCAAAAAGGCAAGTATATATTATATAAGTATATTTACATAAGTTAATTATATTGTATAAGTATATATATAAGTGTATTTTTGAAAAATGCCAAACTCTTTGTTTATTTAAACAAAAAGGTGCATTTATTATAGGTTAATGTGATTAATTTAAAGAGGTGAAAGTGATCAGTGTGAATCAAAATATTGGTGCTAAAACAGCAGTGGTGTCTGATGGAGCCTGTTTAGAGCTTTGCTGACACCTTTTGGTGAAGACCTAAATTAGATGTCTTAACTTCCACTTAAACTGCTTCTGTTTCCTTCCTGAAACTAATTAATGAACTCCTGTGGAATAAAGCAAAAGGCTCTGTAACTTACCCCACAGTGCGGCACACAGGATCTCAGAGTTAAACCTCTTCTTGTACTTGCGGATCTCCGGCGTGTCGCTCTGAGGACGGGTGTTGACCGGGTTGACGTTGACCACTGAGCCTTTCCGTGATGGATCTGCTCTCAACGCTTCCGCCAGCCGGGCGTCATTGGCGTAGCCTAAAAGGTCAAAGGGAAGGGCTTAGGTAGGACGGTGAAGGAGTTTATCAGACGGGGTGAGGATCAGTCACATCGTCAGTGTTAGAGAAGCGTTTGAATTTATTTTTATGAAATGTTAAAACAACATCAGTGACTATAGGGTGAACTCAAATAAAAAGGCAGAAAATGTAGCCTTATAATGGAATCAAGAAAAGCATAGATTAGAGAATAATGGATTTGATGAAGAAAAAAGTTGCTCCCAATTTCATTGATAACTGAGAAACCTAACATTATATTATTGGTTGAAATCTTTCAGAAATGAGCTGATGCTCCTTAAAAACATGTAGAAATGTAAAACTCTGAAGGGAAAACAAACTCTGTGAGGCTTCTGATGAAGTTTAGAGCCCATGAGCAAGTCACCAGCGGCAGCAGATAGGGTACATGAGTGGATGAGGGCTCCTGTGACGATGGGTTTTAAACTCTATGATCTACGCAGAACCTACTGCTGAGCCTAAAAGAATCTTTTCTGGAAAAGTTTCTTATGTTTAGGTTCTAAATGTTCAAGTTGAAATGGCTTTGATTTTATGTCTCTTGAACAAACATACTGATCGTAAATGATGACTGAAGAGAGGCGGATTGGTTCTTTGATCATGGAGCAGAGCGAGTTTTGACCTTGGTGGACAGAACCAGAGTAGAGGGATGGACCTGAGTCCAAATTCCTTCTCTTAGCTCACCAGATTGCTCTGAATGGCTAAATGCTCATTGAGCATCCAAACTTAGTAAGAATTACTATCAAATGAAAGCATTATATAAAGCAACCTGTATTAAATATAGATTACTTCAAGGATCTATGGTAACAACCCTGCACAGCCCCCCCGCCCACACACACACACACACACACACACACATCTCTAGCCGCTTTCTTCCATTCTTACCGTAACTAATTAATCTTGCCTGTGAGGTTGAGACATTAACTGCAGATTAATTGGTCAATGTTTCTTTTATTCTTAATGATACAAGTCCATCACAATGTATTATAAATGTATGATCATCATTTTATTGAAAAAAAAAATGTTACGGAAGCAACAATTGCCTAATTTTCTGTCGATGCCCGCAGAATACAATCCCCAGGATCTTAAAAGTCTGAAAAGACAAACATTTTCTTCTATACTCAATACAACCAGCTGTGTTTCTATAAAGAGTTGTGTTGGAGCTATTTATTCTTTATTTCTTTATCCATTTGAATTGAGTTAATTCCTAAACTTATATATTTTTTTTTATTATTTATAGACTTTATTTATAACTTACTTGCTGAATTTTGTGTATTTATTTTTTGTTGTTTTATCATTTTTTCTTTCTTTATTATGTAAAACAGGAAGAAATGTGGGCGGTCCACTTTCTATAATTGTAGGAGCCTGGTAAGGACCAGCATGCATTTGGGTTAGGGGCCTATGGGTTTTTATCAGTGCAAGAGAGGTGACAGAGCAAGGGAATGTTTGAACTCTGTAACGTTGCAAAAAATATAGAAAATAAATCAACTGAACATCTACAAGTTTGGACTTCAACTTCTTTTGCCTGCGTCAAGAAAACGTGACCCCAGTGCCTATAGTGGCTTATTGGAACTTTATTGGATGTTTGGTTTGACAAATAATCGTCACTACATGTAAAAATCTTTTATGAGTTGCACTCTTAGATTTGGTCCAATAACTTGATTCAAACAATCAAATGGTCCAGGCACTTACCGACATTGTTGAGGGCGCTGCCGGTGGATGGAGACACTTGCAGGAGGCGCGGGTCGATGAACGGAGTGAAAGATGAAGAGGACTTGTGTTTCTGCATGTTGTTACTTGACTGGCTCTGTATGTAGAAAGGAGGAAGTATTAAAGGTGATGGAGCATCACAACTTTAGGCGATTGCCATCTTTATGGACATAAATTAAATAGTGCTTTCGTAAAGACTGGTTAACACGACACAGTACTTAAACACATTTGTTTCATGCAAACAGAATGGGCAATGCAATCCAGGGGGTAAAATAAGACGTATATAAAAAAAACTGATGAAAAACAATAAAACAACAAATGGATGTGTTTTTGACTAACTGAAAAACAACGACACAAGAGGGAAACGTAGCTCTAAGAACTCTTTCCATGGATTGAAATTATACTTGCCGTCGAGTGCTACGACCTACTGTCTGGGAATGTAAGAACAAGCTCTGTTTGCTGAAAATAGGTAACATTAAGATAAAGGATGAGATATACAGCAGAATTTTCTAGTATTTTTCAATAAAACCAGATCAACGTTAGAGCGGCTACTGAAGAGAAACTGAATAAAAAAAATTTTATCAGAGGCATTTAATCATATTTCCTCATGTCTTCTTGAGGAGCGGTCGAGAGGGATGACAGGTACTGGCCAGCAGAGGGCACTGTGCTCATTTATGGATATTTAGTTCATATGCAGAGAATTATCAGTCCAGCTGATTAAAGCTTCAAAGCTCCGAACATGCTGCCCCACTTTACAAAAATATGTAAAAAAAAAAAATATCAATCTTTTATTGTAGCGGCGTAATCTAACATCCTAAAACCTTTAACCTTTGTGTACACTTGCTGGGAAAGATGCCATTCAGAAAGTATTTATTAATCAAATGCACATTTATTAGCACCCTGGATAATCAGTTTTAAAATAAAAATAAATGAAGTTATTGTGCTATTTTCACCCCATTGAGTTGACTGGTTTCATTTTGTTGTCATTTTGAGATGTTCGTGTCCTGCCCCTCCACACAGAGGAAGGAGGATGGTAAGGAAGCAGTTTGCAGCAAGAGAAGTGGCATTTCAGGCGCAGAAAAAACAACCATTTAAATGCCAGGTATGGATTTTCAGCAGCAAACACTCCAGGTGGATGTAAAATAAAGCAAAGAACCTTGTGCCAACAGCTTAGGATGGTGGAGGACCTCTGATGCTGTGATCAAGCTGCTCCTTAAGTCTCTGGGAAATAACACTACTTTATAGGGACCCCAGTTTTATCATTTTGCTTCATTCTATCTCTATTCTCCCACTCTGCAGAATCTGTTAGTTCAATCTCTAACGTTCTCTGCTTTTTCTCAGAGTAGCTTTGCCTCGTCTGTTCCTGTTGGCCGTGACTCCATCCTGGAGAGAAATATCAGCTGTGCTGCTGACATCAACACCTTTGTTTATAGATGTTCGAAATCATCTATGAACATCTCAAACTGCAAAAAAATTGAAATCTAAATAAGTCATTTTCCTTTAAAATAAGGTAATTTTCTATTGAACTGACTGGGGGGAAGTGAGACTCTTTGCCAATGGAAGAAGACAATTTATATTTAAAAGAAGAAAAAACAATTACTTTGTCCTATTTCATTTGCATATTATCTAATTATCTTATTTTAAGAGTAAAAATACTAATTCCATTGGCAAATCCTCTTATTTACCTACTCAAATTTAGGGTAAATACTTAGAATTTAAAATGTGCTGTCTCTGCTTAAAAAAATTTCAATTTAACCAAGTCTTACAATCTTAGATCAAGCCAAAAAGACTTTTTGATCTTGTTTTGAAATTAACATACTAATCAAAAGCTGATTCTGTTAGATTATTAATCTCTTCTGAAAAACTGTGTATTTAAAATAAGTGCAACAATCTTCCAGGACAATAAGAGAACTGCACCTTTTCTGAGAATGCAGATTATGATTTCAAAAGTCATACGAAGTGCAATTATCTTATTGCATTAGAAGATCGGTGCATCTATTCTGAGTAGAATCCGCTCCAAAGAAAATTAACAATCCAACACAACCTGATCTTGCTTGGTATAGCAATCTCAAAACAGGTTTAAAAGAACTTTTTCTGCTAGAATAGAGACTTGTTTCGATGGGCAGGTTGTACAGTCTAAGCTGAGCTCAGGAGAACTTAAACACAGTCCAGAGTGAGTTTAGAGATTAACTGTGTAATTCAACTAGGGGGAAATATTACAAAAGATTATGTACTGCAAAATAATTATGTAGCAGGTACTGAAAACCGGGTGCAAATTAATTGTGCCAAAACGTGTAAAAATATCCTTTGAAATGTTTTTATTTTTTATTTATCGAACTGATAGAGTAAAATAACCTTTTTTTTTGTAAAATTACGGGGCAGCATGTCCATGTCTGTATTAAACCACAGTCTGACCGGCTCTCATGTTGGGGCTGGATGACATACCTCTGTGAGGATGCCGAGCTTCTCCAGGGGGCTCTGGGGGGCCATGGTGGAGGGACTGGCAAGGCTGGAAGAAGAAGGGGAGTTGGATGCAGAGGAGGAGGGGGAGGAATGGTGGCTCTGCTGGATCAGGTCTGGGAGGTGATGGATGCGGCCAGGAAAGCCGTTCCTGTCACTGTGCTGCGTGGGGTGATGGTGGTGGTGGTGATGGTGGTGGTGGTGTGGGGGACTGGGGGTGTGGAGGATGAGTCCCTGCCCCGACGGCGAGCCGGGGCTCGGAGAGAAGCCTGCGAGCAGGCTAAGGGTCTGCGTTTGGCCCGACACGGGGGCTACACGCTTTCTGTTGTCACCTGCACTCTGGAAGTAGAAAGAGGGGTAGACAACTATGGGTCTAGAAGTGTTCCTGGCGAGCTCAGGGGAGGGGTACGTGTTAGCTGGAGCAAAGGGCGAGCTACAGACACTACTCTACAGGTAGAGAGAAAACTCCCGTTAGTATCTGATCTGGTTAGACTCTTAAGCTCCTGGTACTATTTAAAAGTAGTTCAATATACTACAGCATATTGAACTACTTTTATAAAATAATCAATAAAGTTGAATATTTACACAAAAAAAGATATTTTCACATTTTCTGTTACAGCAAACTTGAATATATTCTGCTGGAGCAGATTTTAATTGAAGACAGAACAAATGTGAAGCAGAATTAAAAACTATGAAGGAATTTATGATTTAATACGGATAAAAATCTGAAAAGTGTGGCATGCATTTGCATTAATCTCTTCTCTGATATTTGTAGTGAAGCCATGTGCCTACAGAAATCTCCCAATATATGTCTAACTAAGAGCAGCATAGAGGTCGATGAACAGAGCAGACGGGTCGGAGAGTCACCGTGGAGAAGTTTAAAAGAAATTTGATACTAGAGATCGAATATTTCAGGTTATCTAAGGTAAACAGAGATTATTTAACCCAAAGGCCTGTAATCTGCAGCTCTTAATAACTGAAGATGAAAATAAAACAAGACCAAACAGCATTTAAAGACAGATATAACAAATACTGACAGTACTAACCATTTTTTTCACCTAAGTAGCAAAGTAAATACATTTAGCAGTTGGAGCTAAGTAATATAGATGATATATTAGGGCTGGATAACAATTCAGTAATACTATATATCGATCGATAGACTTGTGAAAAGAAAAGAGGGAGGATAAAAGTTAAATATAGAAACAATGTTTTCTTTCCTTTTCATATTAGCCTATCATGTAGGTTGATGCTGCAGTCACCTTTTCCCACCAACCAATCATAATCACGGACCCAGAAACGTAAACTGGTAAAAACGAAGTCTGGTAACACAACCAGCTTATCTGATCATCTAAGCCGCTAATACCAAATGGAGAACGAGCTGTGTCGGCCCCGGCGCGGTTCCAAGTCATCTGAGAAATCTTCAGGAACTTCTGCCAAAACAAAGTAGGCAAACCAAGCTAAACTGGGCTTCCTTCTATGTGATAAATACGACAAAAGCGTTCATAAGGACATCACTCATGCAGTAACATGCTTCATAGCGATGGATATGCTGCCGTTGTCTGAAGTTGAAAAACCTGACTTCAAACAGCTGCTCGCCACACTTGATCCACGACACGAAGTTCAAGGCCGTAAGTTGTTCTCTAACTTAGCGCTCTGTAATCTGCACAATTACGCAGGGAATTAGTGCAAAATGAGCTGCAATCTGTGTCTAGCTATGCAACAATGTCGGACCTCTGGTCAAGTCGCACATCCAAGCCCTACCTCAGCCTGTTAGTTAATCAGATAGAGAACGGAACCTAGAATTTTTAAGACCCGAGGTCTTCAACAGGGGATCCACGACCCCTAGGGGGTCAGTGGAGGTACTGCACGGGGGTTGCAAAAGTTTTAGTTGATAACTTTTTTTTGCAGTTTTTTCCACTAATTGAAATGTCTTTAAATCCACATTAACATGAATTCAACACACTGTAGTAAACAGATAAATGGAGGCAGAAGATGTCTTTCAGTCATCAATGTAAACATTCAGAGACAGACAGGAGCTCTTTTAAGCTGGGAACCGTTTCATTCACAACACCTGTAGCATCGACGAGGATTCCGAATCAGAACAGATTTTATAGAGCATGCAGATGGTGCAGAGGTTAGAGCGCATGACTCATGTATGGAGGCTTTAAGGCCAATGCATGCTTCTGACCCATATCCTCTGTAACCGTCAAATCTGTCTCTGTGCGCGACCACACCCCCCGCACAGAGGACCTGCAACCGTCATCGCGCACCTCAAAAAAAATCCTGACTAAGCTTCGGACGGTCGCAAACCCGCACAGACCTCAAGCGGAAGTGTGCAGACAAAAAGCAGCTGTGATTGGTCCTTGCTATGCCTTTCTGGTTGTCTGTGTGGTCGTCCTTCTCTATTCGGTGCCGGGGGGCGCCATTTTTAAAAACAGAGCAGCAACAACAATGGACAACCTACGCGTTTTTTGTCAACTCCATTAACAGAACCTGTTCCTCTTCGGTGTCTAGCAACTCTAGATCCATCTCCGTCACTGTGATATATGTTGTGTCTGTTTAAGGTGAAACTAATCAGTGATCAGCTACAGGTTTTATCGTCACCTCAGCAGCAGGAACAGAAAATAATCAACAACGTACGACAAAATGAAAGAACAGTGGGGAGATGAAGGAAAGCAATGCTATGATGAAAACAGGCATGCAGTAAATGAAAGGCCGTTGTTTTCTTCCTGCTCGGCGGGTACCTGTCTGACAACCAGCGTGCTGTCTTTGCACCGAGTCGTCCCTGCTTCGTTCTCGCCCTCGTCGTGAACTATCATGGTTTTCACCGACTCCGTTTCTCCGTTACTCAGCTTGGAAGACCTGAGGGAGAAGATGAGACGCAAACAGGAAGTCAAGGCTACAGATGTGTCACTCTGATGGATACCGTCACCTTGTTCGGCACGTACACTGCTTTGGAGTCCTCTGGGCCGGACGTCGACTCTTCACCCGCCTCCTGGTCCACCTCTTCATCATCATCTTCATCAGTGGTGTCAGAGTCCTCACTGGATGAGGAATAATCCGTCACCTTATTCTGGGGGCGGACGTCATCCACGGCACGCAGCTCCTTGGCCAGAGCCGTCAGGTCCTGCAGATCATGAAGGGGAAAAGTTTTGTTTTCGCTGAGCACGTTTTCTCTGAGTTTGTTTCCCCTTTAATCCAGGCTGTTGGTAACAGATGACAGCAGATTTGATCACTGATCGTCTTTGAGTGAAGTAGGGAACAGAATGCTGCTGGAGAGGAAGCAGATTATTGAGCCAATGAGAAGCCAAGCGAGGAGAGAAATGATCGTACGGCAGAGAGCTGATGTTTGTCGAGCTGCTGGAGGGAAGGTTAGTGGATTAATTAGAATGATTAAATAATAAAAAGAGCTGCAAAAATGGAGAAAAAGCAAATCTTTCATTAATGTTAGATAAGGTTATGGGTTAAAATGGAAGCCGTGCACCAAGAGAGCCTGTTAGAAAAGATTCAAACAGGAAGTGGAGATCAAGTCAGCAAGAAGCTCCAGCCGACAGTATTACTGTAAGATCGGTACGTGCCATGAATGGAGAGCAGATCATCAGGAAAGAAAAAACTACTCACACACATTTCTGATCTCAAACAAACCCAAAGCAGAAGTTTCAAGATCTAAGCCAGCTAGAGCGCTCAGAGTTTACGCTCACCGCTGGTTTGTTTGCCTTGACCAAGTCCCTCCGCTCCTCTGGCTTTTTCCCGGCATTCTCCGGTCGCTGGAGGGGCGAACCCTCCGATTTGGAAGAGGCTGAAGAAGGTGGAGAAGGCGGTAAGAAAAAAAAAAATAAATAAACTTAAAATGTCTGTTTAATGTTCCTTAAGAAGGTGGGATTATCTATAACCCTGCATCCCCCCTGCGGTGCTTAGAGTTAAAGTGCGTGTAAACTCACAGCGAGCCCTGAACCTCTCCCCAGAGCCGCTTTGAGAGCTGGAGTTACTGGAGCTGCTGGAGGAGCTGGAGCCTCCGCTGCCGCTACTACCGCTCGTTTTGGGAACCAGTTTCTCCACCCGTTCCCAGAGGAGCCGAGGCTCTGCTGAACTGCAGAGGCAAGAAAGGCAGCATGAAAGGACCGCTCTTCAGTTTACACTGCAATCTATGAACTGGATCTATGGATCAGAGTGAATACTAGAGATTCTGAGATTAATTTTCTACAATTCCCTTTGTTAAAAATACTCAATTTAGTCTGAAGTGATGAAAAATATCTGGAATAAATTCTGGGGAGTAAAACCCAGCCTTACTTCTCTATCCTCGGATGCAGAAAATAAATAAAAACTGCTGATAATTACTCTTAAATAATAACTTATTCTTGAGATTAAAAATGGCGCCATTGTGCAACAGAAAATCCAGTAATTTATAACCCAAGTTCAACATATGACATTAAAGATAGTTTCTTTTTTTTTGTTTTTCCTTAGCTTCTATGTAAAACTCCATAGCTGGGTTCGCAATGATCCACAACATCCTAACTCCTCTATAGGAAACTTTCAAGAAAAACTAACTTTTACCTTCTTTAAGATCTAATTTATTGAAACTGATATAACCCTCTACAATGATTGGCTCTCTGTCTTTAAGTTAATCAGGCATATTACCAACAGGAGACCTTTTTTTCTAGACTTCTCAAACACTGAGGTTTAAAGTTAATTTTACAGTTTTCTTCCATATAGAATAATGTAGCTCAACTAAAGATTGTCTCACTTTAATATTTCAAACTTTGCTTCTGCAAACAAAGATTTACTTCTTTTCAAAGGTTTTTGCAGTTTATACCGAGGATGCCCATAATTATGGAAAAAGCTGCTATTTCAAGACAATTTTAATGGGCACCATTTTGGACCTGGTAGCACTTGGTTTTACATCACATTGTCTGCATTTCTTTTGGATCGTCAACGTTTTGGAATAAATGTATATGTTTGTTAGGGCGCTTTTCATTGCTTTTGTTATAAACATTCATAATATAAATAAATTATGTTGATAACAATACTGTAAATATTTGATGTCTGCTTCTGTCTCCTTGAACCCAAGTCGGCCTCGGCAGTCTGAGTCTGGTTCTGCTGGAGGTTTCTTCCTGTTAAAAGGGAGTTTTTCCTCTCCACTGTCGCTACAAGCATGCTCAGTGTGAGGGATTTGACACTGTGTCAATAAGTTGATGCATCAGCTGATATTCCTTAGACAGAAAACTTTGAATCAATCTGACTGGATGATCTGGTGAACTGTAAAGTGCCTAGAGATGACATGTGTTGTGAATTGGCGCTATATAAACTGAACTGAACTTATTTTACATGTAGAAGCACTAATCAACAAAAAAAAAAAATATATATATATATATATATATATATATATATATATATATATATATATATATATATATATATATATATATATATATATACAGTGGGGCAAAAAAGTATTTAGTCAGCCACCAATAGTGCAAGTTCTCCCACTCAAAAAGATGAGAGAGGCCGGTAATTTTCATCATAGATATACCTCAACTATGAGAGACAAAATAAGAAAAAAAATCCAGAAAGTCACATTGTCTGATTTTTAAAGAATTTATTTGCAAAATATGGTGGAAAATAAGTATTTGGTCAGTTCCAAACAAGCAAGATTTCTGGCTCTCACAGACCTGTAACTTCTTCAGTAAGAGGCTCCTCTGTCCTCCACTCGTTACCTTCATTAATGGCACCTGTTTGAGCCCGTTATCAGTATAGAAGACACCTGTCCACAACCTCAAACAGTCACACTCTAAACTCCACCATGGCCAAAACTAGAGAGCTGTCAAAGGACACCCGAAACAAAATTATAGACCTGCACCAGGCTGGGAAGTCTGAATCTGCAATAGGTAAACAGCTTGGTGTGAAGAAATCAACTGTGGGATCAATTATTAGAAAATGGAAAACATACAAGACCACTGATAATTTTCCTCGATCTGGGGCTCCACGCAAGATCTCACCCCGTGGGGTCAAAATGATCACAAGAACGGTGAGTAAAAATCCCAGAACCACACGGGGGGACCTAGTGAATGACCTGCAGAGAGCTGGGACCAAAGTAACAAAGGCTACCATCAGTAACACACTACGCCGCCAGGGACTCAAATCCTGCAGTGCCAGACGTGTCCCCCTGCTTAAGCCAGTACATGTCAAGGCCCGTCTCAAGTTTGCTAGAGAGCATTTGGATGATCCAGACGATGACTGGGAGAATATCATATGGTCAGATGAAACCAAAATAAAACTTTTTGGTAAAAACTCTGTCGTGTTTGGGGGAGAGAGAATGCTGAGTTGCATCCAAAGAACACCATACCTACAGTGAAGCATGGGGGTGGAAACAGAATGCTTTGGGGCTGTTTTTCTGCTAAGGGACCAGGACGACTGATCCGTGTGAATGAAAGAATGAATGGGGCCATGTATCGTCAAATTTTGAGTGAAAACCTCCTTCCATCAGCAAGGGCATTGAAGATGAAATGTGGCTGGGTCTTTCAGCATGACAATGATCCCAAACACACCGCCCGGGTAACGAAGGAGTGGCTTTGTAAGAAGCATTTCAAGGTCCTGGAGTGGCCTAGCCAGTCTCCAGATCTCAACCCCATAGAAAATCTTTGGAGGGAGTTGAAAGTCCGTGTTGCCCAGCGACAGCCCCAGAACATCACTGCTCTAGAGGAGATCTGCATGGAGGAATGGGCCAAAATACCAGCAACAGTGTGTGAAAACCTTGTGAAGACTTACAGAAAACGTTTAATCTCTGTCATTGCCAACAAAGGGTATATAACAAAGTATTGAGATGAACTTTTGTTATTGACCAAATACTTATTTTCCACCATATTTTGCAAATAAATTCTTTAAAAATCAGACAATGTGATTTTCTGGATTTTTTTTTCTCATTTTGTCTCTCATAGTTGAGGTATATCTATGATGAAAATTACCGGCCTCTCTCATCTTTTTGAGTGGGAGAACTTGCACTATTGGTGGCTGACTAAATACTTTTTTCCCCCACTGTATATATATATATATATATATATATATATATATATATATATATATATATATATATATATATAGTTTTGATCAAACTTCTTTTTTGATGTTTTGTTCCCTCTGTGAGTCTGAAGTTAGAGAAGGTGAAGGAAAAAAAAAAAAAAAAGAAGAAAGCTAAGTCCTCTGCCTCCCAGTTTACCTTCCAGCATTTCGGAGCACGTCCCTGCTCTTTGGGGCGTTGCTCTGGTGATGAGGCGAGTCTCGCCTCGACAACACCGGAGACCTTGATGTTGTCCTTACAGGAACCTTGCATGATAAAAAATAAAAAAAACAGAAACCTGCTTACACATCAACACTCTGGAAGCATGTCTGGCCGGGCGTCAGCTTTACTGCATTTACAGAAAACATTTTCATCTGTCAGGCTCCAATAATAACAGCTTGATCCTACGTCAATATGATGGGTTTTTAGTCTTAATTGCTAAAAAAATTTTTACCCATCTGATCCATCATCAGTTAACTATTAAGTAGACCAACCTGATGAAGTATCAGAATCCTCCCAGAAGAGGAGAAAGCTTTGTTTCCTATGAAGAGATGTCAACTAATCCCACTTCTATTTTATTTACTTCTTTTACTGTTTGGGTGATTTCCTCTTTTCAGAAAGGAAAAGAAGCCACCTGTCAGTGGATAAGTATTTAGAAATGCTTAAAGATATTTTATTTAGTGGCTTAAGGCTAGAGTTGCCAACTCCCTAAAAAAAAAAAGAAACACCTGATGTCCAGCTGACCTGATTGCCTTTACCCCTCCTGTCAAGGTGAATTTTTTTATCCCCCCATTTGTGTGTGAAATTATTATTTGACGCAAATCTGCATTGAATTAGATGCATATTTGTGAGTCACATGAACACACGGAAAACAAATTATTATCCAGCAATTCACTTTAACACAAAATAACAAACTTTGCTGAATAAAATAAGTATTTTAAACATAAGCCTGTCCTGCTTAGCTTCAAACTGTAAAAATCAATATCAAAAAATAAATAAATAGTGCACATTTTTGGTGCAACAGCAAACTTGTGCAAACTTGTAAACATATTTGTTGACGGTGCACCACCCCCATTGGTCCCCCATACTGCTCTGTTGTTTCCCGCTATCTTCTCCATGAGCAACACTTGGCTCGACCAATGGGATGACGGTATTCTGGATCATTACATATATGCTGTCACCTCATTGGTCAAAATGCAGGACAGGGCCCAGGCACAAGTTTACCTTAAGTTTTGTATCTGATGTGCTCTTGTTCTTCATTTTCCATGAGCTTTTTACTGACAATATTTTTTCTCTCACAGTAATACGGGAAAAAGTGTGTTCCTTTTCCACTAAATACGGGACAGGTGCTTCTATTTCTAAATACAGAACAATTCTGTTTTTCAAGGGACGGTCGGCAACCCTACTTAAGGCCGAATTCACAAACAACCAACTTTAGCTGATAACAGAAAGGCTGAACACGTAACGGCAAACCTGATCTGTTTGATCATTTTAAGCTTACAGTCTCTGTTATAGAACATGTTAGATTGAGAAATGTTTAACGTACCTTAAGAGCATTTTATACTTAGCAATGCTAGTAAGATATCGGCTAATACAAGTGCAACTGTTGGATTATGCTTGCAATAACTCGGCTTCCAATCTAAATATATTAGGGATCATTTTGCATAAAACAAAAACCAAAACCTCATCTTTCTATTGGTAAACTTAAATGTAAAAGCCAGCTTGGAGGACCTCTATCAGTAATCTACCTTTCTTTGTAATAATTCTAAATTAGAAATAATCTCTGTTACCAGAGACCTTAATCGAAATAGCATATTTAATCTGAGTAAATGGTCTTCCTCTAGTGAGCATCTTTCTGCGATAAAAGGAAAAAAAATCCAAAGGGAGTTTAAGTATTGATGCTGTTACTAAAATGTTTGATCTTCTTATTTAATCATGAAACAGAAACAAAATAAAAATCTAACTAGATCCGCAGCTAATCTGTCTTACTCTGGGCGGGGCGTCTTCTGACGGGACCTTTTCATGGGGCAGGGGTCTGGGCTGAGGTTGTGTTTGTGGCTCAGAGCGAGCAGGCGTTGATGATAAGAATGATGGAGATGACGATGAGGATGGAGGAAGATGGTGGGACTCATTGCTTTTGTGCAGGTGGTGGTTTTCAAAGCTAGCTGTTAGCGGCTCTGTGAAGGATTGTGACCGGGACATGGCGGGCGGGGTTGAAGCGGATGAGTTTGGCGAGGCCACACTGCTGCTGATCTTCAGCGCGGCCAGATGTGAACGAACCTTTTAGATGACAAGACAGACACAACGGGGAGCAGGGATCAGACTGCATGCAGATAACTCAAACAAAGAACAGGTTTTCATCCATCTTGGATTAGGATTGAAGCAGACTATGACAGGAACTTGGATTACAGTTCCTAGAAAAGTATCGTTACCCTTTAAACTTGACAACTGCATGCTAAAATTTTATTTACCAAGATTTTGTGAGAAAGAACAACACAAATTAGTTCATATTTAAAATGAGATAATATGTTCTTGTTTATAACACACTGAAAGTGTGCCAAAGATCTGCATTTACCCCACTAGGTCAGCACTCTGTAGGTCTCTATAAGCTTTATTATATCTACAATCAAAAATGTTACCTATTGCCTTTGGTTGAATAGTTTAGCTCAATCAGATTGAAGGAAGAGTATTGATAAAAATTCATTTTCTGTCAGGTTTGGATTTACTTCATTGCTGGAGGATATTCTTTGTCCCTTCCAGCCTTAAACAGTTGTCTGTTAAATATTATTCCCTATGTAGCTCCATCCATCCATCCTCCCATCCAATCCGTCTACCTTCACTGACCTAAAAGAGGCTAAAAATGATTTAACGAACCAACAGATGTGATTTAATGTCAAATACCAAGCAGTTGTTTCTTTTTTTCAAGAATCTGAATTAAATTTCCTACCAAAATGGCATTAAAAAACCCAGAAATAGGCACAAGGTTTATTTTGGTCATTAACTTGGAAATTAGGTTTTGTTTTTTTGTTATTTTTTGTTGTTTTTTTGTGTTTAAAGCTAATAAAATCCCATGATTCATTGTTATGAAACATTTTTTTCGTGTTTTAGATGCATAAAATAAAACTATGCTGTTAGTTCTTTAAAGTGGCACCAGATTTCCTATGGAAGATATTTAAGAAAAATGAAAAGCAGCGATGCAGAATATTGGAATGTGTACCGATACATTCAATATGCCGATATTTCACATCTCAACTTGCCGATAAGCAGATTTCTTTCCATAGAACTACTAACAGTCCTTATGTAGTCTTTTCCCTCCTGTCCTTTACTAAAAAAAAAACGTCCACACCTCTCACATTTTAACTCAGAATCTCCTTTGTGAGAAACTCACGCACCTGTTGGGCTTTATGTGACCTGCTGGCATTTTGCCGTAAAACAGCGCTTTATATATCAGTGTATTATATTGGTGGAACTACTGATGTCCAATATTTAGCTGTGAAGCTAAAACCAGCCAACAGAATGCCAATAATATCCCACATCCGTAATAATGTTTTGTTTAATTTTTGCTAAAGTTGAAATATTTGCCAACAAACAATATAATAAACAAATTTTAATTAGCTGGACTCGGGGCAAAATGTCTCTTTGTATTTTAAAGGCTGGTTTAGGGTAATAAGCTTGTAGAAACTAATCAGATATTATTATGGAAACTTGCTCTTCTTCTGGACTTTTGCTGCTTTTATTTAGGACTTTCTTTTACCAAAAGCCTTGCCTGAATGTATGATTAATGATCACTTTGCTGAGGTCTTCTGAAGTGTGGAAATGCTTCCATACTTTCTCCGTTTTCAGACGGACTCCGCATAGAGATGTCTGAAGCTTGTAATGTTTTAATTTCCCTAACTGTTTTAAACATCTCTACTGTCTCTCTCTAACCTACCTGCTGTAATCCTCAGTCTATATAATGCTGGTTATCACTAATGTTCACAATCAAACCTATGTGGCTTTCAAAGCATTTTCATTTACTGTATATTTAAGGTATAGTGGATGATTTTCATGAATTTTTTTAAAGGACCCATCCTCACTACTTAAAACAAAAATGCACATGCACAACCCTGTACCTGCTCCTGAGTAGAAACGCCTATTAAATGCGTGTGAGAGCGTGAACGTGCGCATTACTCCTCATGCACATTCTGTTCAAAAGTTACTGTTTTCATCACTCAAACAAGCTTACTTTCCAAAAGAAAGTTTGCAATTTCAAAATTTTTGCAAATTTTTCGACCATGTCAGATTTACCACCGGTGAGTGAAAATGGGGATGAGCACGTAAGATGTCCTTACGTAAACATATCACCGGAATGATTGACAATTAGGAGGACCACTTATTTAGATGATCCACCCAGAAAAAAAAACATCTTCCACTATACCTTTAAGATGAAATCCCACACAGCTAGAGTCCAGGTACTAACCACGTGTCTTCTAAGATGAATTAGCTGCAGCATTTTATTGAATGCCACCTAACTAAAGGAGGGGATGTTAACATACATGCATGGCACTCTTTCTTTGATTTGTAAACACATTTGAAATTAACCCATCATTTTCCTCTCGGTTTACAATGATGTACTGCTTAGTGTTGACCTATAAAAGAAAAAAAAATAACCTGACAAATAATTGCAGTAAAAAAAAAAGACAAAATATGAAAAAAAAAAATAAAATAGAATAAATACTTTGCTAAAACTGCACTTCATGAGGCTCCGGGAGCACAGATTTAGCACAGCAGAGAGGGAGGGATGCTCTTCTTTAACCTTTCAGGCTATGTTAGGATTCCTGTTAAGGTTCTGCTGGCTTTTCCACCACTCACTAAACATATGTTGCATAATTATCATCTAAATTACAGTACAAAGGACGTCTCTCATTTAACTCCTGCTCGCTTAAAACGCTTCATCTGACAGGCCTCACTCTAAGTTCATTATCTCTTCTCAGTAGCTGGAAAGGATTCAAATCTGACACTTTAATTAAAGGAAACTAATCTGAAGCCTTTCAGCAGGCGAAAAAAGGAAAGCGGTGCAGTTAACCTCCTCATTTAATCCAGCATAGGCAACACGTTTAGTTACTGCCTGGGCCAGCTGGGGCCAAAACTTCTCTGGTAGCAGCCGTTTGAACCCAAAAGTAAGCTGATAAAATGAGATCTGACTTCTCAAATGTACAGTAATGGAAGAGATTAAGAATATCTGTTAAAAAAAAACAGCCGAGCAGCTGAAACTCATTCTAAGCTCCGAACCCTATAAATGAACACTATATCTGCTGCTGAAGTGCGTTATGTAACAATAATACCCTGAGATAAAAATATGCTTTTGGCACGTTGGAGATGTACACAGCTCCAAACCCCTCAAGAGAAAAACACCCAAAATAGGAACCAAGAAAACAGATATATTTTTCATTTTTGTCAGGTTTTAAGGCTCAGTTATGCCTGATGCATGCAGGTTAATGGTAACTAGAAAGTGGTAAGTTTATAAGTAGAAAACAACTGTTTCCACATTTTAAAGCCTCTTCCTCTTATTTAACAGTTATACTAATTACTTTCCAAGTTTTTCTCACAATCTTTGGATCTTGGTTATAGTTATCGTCTAAATTTTAAGATGTCTCCAGATTTTTATATTTAGAACTTCTCACCAGTAAGAGCAGACACTCCTCCATGTAGAGTCTCCACTTAATTATACATTTTTTCAGAAATCAGGAAAATCAGGCTGTGACGCCGTCATTTGGCTTTGCAGAAATGTCAAGAATAAACCGGGTTTTACTCTGACAGAAAAGACAATAAAATTTGTGCTTTATCCCAGTGTTTTTAACACGTCGCTGATGTCTTTATCGATTCTCAGCATGTGTTTCACACAGAAAGATCACTCTAGGTCAGAGGTCACGGATTAGCGGACCACGATCCGGATCCGGACCCACCTGCTGGCTAATCCAGACCCAACCTGATCTAAATCATTTATAAATTACTGCATGTTCTCTGACTACAGTGTCTAATTTCTCTTGCACCGCTTCTCCTCTTAATACAGTAAAGGCCTCTGGAGCGTCCGGCTCCAGGTTGCACGTGATACAAATTAGCCAATGAGCCGCTGTCAGTCTGGGTTGCTGCTGCTGCTACTTTTAGATTAAGGCAGAAAAACCTGTGGCAAGCCGGGCGATCGGAAAGAAGGAGAAGATGATGAGAAAAAGAGAGCAGAGAAAGTGTGGACTGCTGGAAGAACTGTGGTGAACTGGTGACAGAAAAGTGAAATGGTGTGCTGAAAGATGACCCTGCACATTTTGAGTATGCTTGGCTCAACCTGCTGCTGTGAAGCAGGATTCTCCACCATGAACAGAATAAAAAATAAACATGGATCCAGGCTTAAAATGAGCACCTTGATATGTGCTTTAGAATGGCTTAGTCTCCATTCAAACCCAGGTTTAAAGCCTTGCAGGGCAGCCTAGAGCCCACTGCTCTCATTAAGCCATAAAAAAAGAAAGAAAAAAATTAACTTAACTTAAGTTCAGGTGTTTTATAAAATATATGAATCAGGAAATTGTATATTTACCAAACTGAACGATTGTTGTTCTCTACTTTCCAAAAACACTTTAGATTTTAAAATGGAAAAATTTTCTATTTCTTTTTTATTTATTTAATAATTCAATGTATAACATGGATGCACCTGTTTAAAGTAACAGATTATAATTAGAAATGTCTCAGGCCCTTTACTGGTTGATGATTTTCTTTATTCGGACCCCACTGATTATTAATTGGTTACCCCTGCTCTAAGTAAACTGCCTCCTACCTCAGTTTTCTTTCTAACTCAGCATCACTTACATGGGTAAGCAGCCTAAATCCAAATATAATAGCACAATCAAAGGTTAATTGAAGAATTTTGGCATAAACTCACCCTGATGGTTCAGTACTGGGTTTCTCTAAAAATGTTAAAGCCTACTATAATCTCAGCCTTTCTCAGGCTAATTGCAGGCTTTAATCTCAGAGCCTAACCAGTTTATATTCAATTATCATGTAGGTGGGACATTCATTGCTTAAAAAGAAAATAATCCCACACTTTTAAATTGAATTATGATATATTTGCTGATGTATGCTGCAAAGGATGAAGATATTGTATCTATCTGATGTTCCTCATCTTAAAAACACATTTAAGATTTAAAAAGTCTTCAAACCATTCATTCCTGCATTTATGTTATTCATGCTGAGATTTAAAAGTTATCCTAACATCATGCATCATTTCAGTATAATCAAGTTCTCATAGATTTTTAGATATAAGCTAGGCTTTAATTTCCATCCAGCCTGAATTTTCAAACATATAAGTAGACATTATGTCCTAAGAGATCCATCCAACTCTATTACGGTAGGAAAAGAAAAGAAAAAAAAGGGAGACCAACTTGAGCTAACAAGTAAGTCAGCAGAAGTCTGGCATGCAAACATACATCTGAAGTCAAACATGCACACAAACACTGAAGGAGCAGCAGAACTACTAGAACCTACCTCTGGTTGCACGGTTAGCATCCTATCTCCTATCTCATCTTAATTATATATTTAAAAAAAATCTTCTTTCGTTATTTTTAAGTTACTTAATTAATAAACATGAAAAAAATAGCTTGTATTTAATGGAAAAAAAAGATTCTTAATGGAATTTATGGGATGAAAGCCACATTTTCAATCATTTACATTTAATTATAGCGTAGTAAACGAATATACAAAACTACAACAAAGCTAAATGACAATATGTTAACAGAAGCTAATTCCTCTGCTTTAAATCAAGAGCTAATAGTCGACCAGTGAGTTATATCATAACCCTGATTTTACTACGCGACGCCATTGCTTCCGTATTTTTAATCTGTGTGGCATATTGGAGCAGATTGCCTTTAATGAGCTGTGGTTATTCATGCAAAGCTGGTTGAGTTCCTCGCTGGGAAGTGACTATTACAGCCTGAGTCACTCTGATGCAAATCTGGAGGCCTGTAAATTATAGATGTTGTTGAACAACAGCACGAAAAGATGGCATACAGGACAGGAGCAGAGACACAGCCAGAAAAACAGAACTATGAGCTAAATATGATAGATAGTTTCACCCTGAAGCCTTTCACTTTAGCCTGTGAGGACTTGTTTAAAAAACATCTAGGATACACCAAATATGCATTTTTATAGTATCACTGTGTTCACTGACTTCTTAAATAAAATTAATTCAATCGTGGGAAAAGAAGAACAGGAAATGAACCAGATAAATGTATTTCATTGCCTTCGCTATCAGCTCCTGGCGTTGTGATGTCACAAACCTCCCCATCTGTAAATGAATAAATCATTAGTTTGAAGATTTCAAGTTTTTTCACAGAACACTGCAGCTGTTTGGGGGGGAAATGAAACAGAAGTGATGAAAGCAAGACTTTATATGGATAATTTCAGCAGGAACACAGATGCTTTATCCGTCTTGGATCCCTGGATTCACATGAAACAACCTGAATGTGGTCAGCAAAAACACTCAATCCACAGAGAATAAATACAGAAAAAAAGCGAATCATCAGTCAAGAGATTATTGCTTGTTTTGTTGTTGTTTTTTAAATTACAAGCAAACATTGAAGTGTTTTTGAAATCACTTGAATAGGAAAAGCATAATGAAAAAATGACAAAACATTTAAGGATCAAATACAATCATATTTTACTTCCAGATAACCTAGAACTCTGTAATGTGTGAACCAAATAAAGAACATTGATTTTCATTTTTGTACTGTCTGTTGAAAATCCCAGGCAGTGTGGATATATTCTCACTATTTAATGACATAGATATGGAGAGATATTTGTTCCCATACTGCTGAAAGCAAAGCAAACTTGTTGACTGTATATTGGAAGAGAATACGTTTAAAAAATTTTTAATTTTGAATCTAAAAAACTTAATTTTTAATGTGGATGCAAAGCTAAAAATGTTACTATTTCAGATTTATTTTTTTAATCTTTTTTTATTATTTTTTAAACGTTTTTTTTGACAGTTTCTCTTAATTTTTGTCAGATTTTATCTTTTTCTTTTATTTGGAAGAAGAGTTCTTAACAAATCCTGTTAGACAGATTTCACCTTTAGACTTCTGGGTGGTCTGTGTGTGTCCATGCAGTGCAGACACATTTTCTTTACATTTCCTGTTTGTTAAACATGTTTTTTGTTTCAGTAATATTGGAACAAATTTCTCACAAAGGCAGACCCAGTCCTGTGGTAAATGTCACATCAGCTGCAGTTTAATTAAAGAGTGAAATTAATGAGTAAAACTGTTAGTAATCCAGTTTGTGTGGGTCGTTTTTGCGTTTTTCTCTCTCCACCACCAGGTGGTGCCCTGTTCCCAGTTGGGCCTCCCTGCACACCTGCGGCTCGTTGGATCATTACCGGAGGAGTATTTGAGCAGCGGGCTGTCACTAGCTTGATGCCAAAGTCATTGCTAGTTTTGGGTACTCTAGCCAAGCTGAGATTAGCAGAGTCTAACTGAAGCTTTGTTTCTCTGAGTCTAATCTTGTTTTTTGTCTTTGCTCTTCAGCAGGAAGCCTTTCCTGTGTAACTGGATAACCTGGACCTTCTCCCCCTGGAAGGATTATTGAGTACACACTTAGCAGGGGTAAACCTCCACATGATCCGTTCAAGTCCTCTTCGGAAAACCAAGTGACAGTCTGCTCTTTTACTCCTCTGGGTCCAACGTAAGTCTACCTGTACGCTCTCCAACGAGTTCCCTCTCCTCTGGATTAATTCTCCACAAACTGGATTCAAGGATTAACAAGAGCACCCTGAAACGTGAGTTTCTCTCCAGCTATATTCAAGCCTCAGTCAATTTTCCTACGGTCCCTGAACTGTTCACTGTGACCTCTCCTTCAGACTTTTTGGTTCCGGTTCACCAGTCCACTTAAACTTTTTCCCTTGGTCTCTGAGTGGTTCTCTGCATGTCGGTCAGATTGCTTAAACCATTTTTGACAAAAACCTGGATCAAGTGTTGAAAAGGAGAGATTCATTTAGCAATACTATTTCTATGCAGCTCAGATACATAAAATACCGTGATTTCTCTAATATTGGCCTGTATTCCAATAGCGGCCGGGACTCTAACATTGGCCGGTCTTGCTGTCAGAGGAGGTAAATAATGGCCGGTCTCTAATACAGGCCGGGGCTATAAACGTTTTTTCTGGGCATACCTCAACATTATATTTGTGGTAGTAAGTAACATACAAGTACCACAGCCCTGTGCAGCTGGACGACAGGCCCTGACTGCTGCCCGTCTGCGCGAGGAAGAGAACAGACACGCAGCAGAACATGAGGAGGAGCGCGAGTGATGAGGAGATTAAAGGGAGAGATGAAGAGGAGGAGAAAAACTGAGGAGGAGAATTAAACAGAATTGGAGGAATTTTTTTTTTTTTTTACTTCAAACCAAGCGAGACATGGTAACTGTACTTTTTCAATAAATGAACCTAGTGTTTTATAGGTTCAAAAAGACACAAAATCTCATTTTTATTCATTCCACTGGTAGTCTGTTTTGCTCAAATAGCAATAGAGGCCTGTCTCTAATTCTGGCCTCTATCCAATAAAGGCCTGGACCGCGATGCACTTGAGTGAAATAAAGGCCCGGGCCTATATTAGAGAATTTACGGTATACAATTCAATGGTCAGAGGGTCCCTGTAAAACAAACAGTAGACATCCACATAACATTTATCTCTGTGTCTTTATAATTGCATAGGAGGGGATCAATACGCTCAGCTAAGTAGGAGGAGAAATCGTTACCTGTGGTTCCACAGGCCGGTGCATCGCTGGCGTCTCGGATGCGGCGTTCCCGTTGGCGTGTGAAGACTCCGAGCGCGGTGGCACCGGAGGTTGCTGAGGTTTGGTCTGAGCTGACTGCGGAGAACCCTGGGCGTTCTTCCTGTACCGCTCATCGGCCTGCGGAGGACACACAGAAGCTTCAGAAACCGTAGTCAGCATCTCTTAGTACTTTCAAAAGGACACAGAAGACAGAAGTCAACGGGCAGCATGGTTGGTTAGTTTATTTTCCCACAGAGAAAAGCGTTATTCATACAAGCAACAGTTCAAGCAAAACAGAAAGCAAAGAATTATTTTGGGGCAGTCGTGTTATTTTTCACCGCATTATTCCCACAAGTCAACTAGGAGCAACATGAGAAGCCAAAGGGACACAGGAAGAGGAGAAGTTAAGAGATGCAGTCGGCTCTGCAGCACCAATTCCCAGAAGAAACCAAAAAGTTGCATTTGGAATACAGGTCATTTCACCTTTAAAGTCTGGTCTTTATTAAACTGGACTTAATTTGTACCCCAATAGAAGACAGCTCAAACATTAATAAAAAATACTTTGGGGGGGTTTATTATTTACAAGATATTTGCATTTTCAAATTTTTATTTAGTTTTTAAGATCTTAACAATGTCTAAGGATGAGGGCTGAAACAATAAATCAGCTGAATTGATTATTGAAATAATCATCAACTAATTTAGTTATAAATTCAATCAATTCGATTCAGTTTATTTATAAAGCACTGATTCACAACACATGACATCCCAAGACACTTTACAGAGACAATTCAACAAGATCATACAGTCAGATTGATTCAAAGTTTTCTATTTAACAAAAACCAGCTCATTGCATCGACTCACTGACTCGAACGCAATACCTTACAGCAAGCATGCTTGTAGCGACAGTGGAGAGGAAAAACTCCCTTTTAACAGGAAGCTCTTTTGTCGAACTATTGTTATTGGTAAAGAAGCCGTTTTTCTGTGTCAGTAAGGAAACAAACTGACTGCTTCCTCTTACATCTGCCCTGCATCTAAAATAAAGAAATAAAAATCATTAAATGGTTGCAACTGACAGTTGTGAATGCTGGTAAACGTATTTCTTTATTGTTCTTTCAAACATTTTTCCAGCAGCTAAATATGAATCAGATTTATCTTGTGTATAAAAAGGTATCTTTTGCATAAAGGAAACATTTGTTAGAAATTTCTGAACATTCTACACTAAAAATCTTAAAACAATGACCTGAAAGTGAATTTGGGACGTTAATACTTAGCGGTTAAACTCCAGCCGACACATTATTGGAAAGTGTTCCGATTAAAGGCCTCCATAAACAGAGACTGACATCAACAACCACTTCTTTGTCTAAAGCTGCTATAAAGGATACTGACTGACTTTAAATCAGAGCTGCAGCTCCTAGTTTGCTTTTCTAACTTTCTTTATTAAGTCAATCAGTTCTTAATTAGAACTAATTGTTTTCCATTGAGAATCGCAACAGTAAAAACGAGCTTCAGCAGACGTCTGCAAATGTATATAATCTGAAAACGTTTCATTTCTTTCTTTAATTTGATTAAATTTGACATTTACAGATTTGATATTGAGCTACTTGGGTTAGATTTCTTTGGAGTATGATGTCATAGCAGCCTAGGATAATTCTAATTACAAATAAAAAAAAAAATAGACGTATCACTCCTTTGGATTATTGAACAATAGATATTTAAAAGTCAACTACATTTTTTTTATTTTATCTACCTTAAAATGGTCTTAAAAACAAGCAGGCGATTGTATTTAGCCAAAAGATGAGTCGTCTTTTTGTAGGTTCAGTTTTACTGTTACTAAACGGACAAGAATCTAGTTTAATCATTAAAGTTGTGAGTTGGAGGAAAGAATAACACATTATAGTCATTAAGCCCATCTATGGGAAACAGGAGTTAGCCACCACTATGTAAGACACAGCAGGCCCAAAGCAGTGAGATCACACAAGCAAAGGAAATGTTTTACTGAAGTCAAATGAAAGGCGTTTAGTGACAAAGTTCACCTCTCTGACCGGCTCAGAGTCAGGTGTGGAGCTCTGCTGGTCAGCCACAGGGAGCCTTTTTTCCAGGCTGGAGCCCTGGCTGGGCTGCGTCTTTTCATTGCTAATACTCTGCGCTTGTTGCTTCGATGCATCCGGCTCAGGCGTCTGCAGGGCCTTCGCCCTGTCGGCTTCCAGGCTCTGCGGGGCTTTGGTGCTTGGCTGCTGGCTACTTTTACCACTGTCCAGGTTCTGGTTCTGGTTCTGCTGCAGTGACAGCAGATAGGCCTGCTCCTGCTGCAGCTGTCGCTGGAGCTTCTGAGCCTGCCGCTGCTCCTCCAGCTCCCGCCATTTATACTCCTGAGTACAGGGAGGACGGAGACGGAGCTTTGGTTTACCCAGTACTGATTCAAACTCTCAGGTTAAAGCAGGCAGCAGCTGAAAGCCAACTTTCATCCAAAGTTTTGTGTATTTTTTTATGAGTGATCAATAAATACTCGACTCATTATAATGAAGCTGCTGTCATAAAAGCAAAGCTTATTTTTATAGAACTTAATGAGCTCATAAACTGACTCCACGGGAAATGGGGGGCCAGAGACAATAACGCAGTAATGGTCACATCCTTGTATTACACAAGTATTTTCTGTCTTCCCCCAAGAGGAATGAAATCATCAAAAAAAGAAACACAAACACACAGAGTTACCCAACATATCTACAAAAGACGGGCAGCGGTAGAGTCAGGGGAAACCCTCTCTTCCTGTTGGATGACTAGTTTCCTGGTGACGAAATTTTCATCACTGTAAACATCCTGACTTCCCCTGTAAACCCTGAGAAAATTCATTCGGTTTTGACCTCAGCTTTTAACTGATCCCCGTGGATCTCTGAACCTCCCTGAAAAAAAAAAAGTATCCCAACATCTCGGTTCAGTTGGCAGGGAAGCTAAGTGGAAACAGAAACCCTGCATAATGAAGGACCGGTGCCAGCCAGTTTACCAGCCTAATGAAATTTAGCATTCTGAGAATTACACCTGGGATGTAAAAGCAGATGGAAATATGACTAAGACAATAATACAAACTGTGGAACAAAAGCCAAATTTGTCCTGATGTCACAGGTAGTAGGAGATGCCAAAGACTTACAAGAAGCATGGCCTGTTCATGGAGGAGCTGCTGCTGCAGGATCTCCAGGTGCCTCTGCTCCTCCTCCAACTGGCGCCGGATATACTCCTGTCAACCCAACGAACAAATAATAATAATAAAAAAAATCATTGTTATGGTAACGGCAGGAATAGCTGAACATTTTTTTTACGTTTTTTGCAGATATTCAGAAACAATACAAATAAAAAGGTATAAAAACAAGGCTAAACACAATAGAGCTACCTCCTCCAGACAACACTCTGCAGTACATCTATACCTTATGGACAAAGGACATTCTTTTGAGGTCCAGAATGTTCACATTTTGGACAAAGAAGACAGGTGGTTTGAAAGGGGTGTGAAGGAAGCCATCAATGTTAGGAGAGAAAAACCAACCTTAAACAGAGGAGGAGGACTCAGGTTTCCTAAACCTAAAACTCAGTGATATGCGACGTTCACACCTAAAGCAGCAGAGGCAGGAAAAACGCGCGTGCTGCATCATTTTTGATGCTTCTACATGTTTAGTTCTGATGCGCAGCTGAAGCATCTTTGCTGCTCCAGCTGCGCAGTGGAAAAAGTGGGTCTGATGCGCGTTGGGCGGAGCTACCCTATCCTTTCTTTGCCTGTAACAATGGCAGCTATATATGCTGTGATCCGTGTGTAGATAGTAGTTTTTAAGTTTTTAAGTGAGAAAGTCCATCTGATTACCATCCTGCCTTCAAATATTACTTCTCTGTCGGCTGATTTAGGTGAAGTCTGGTTTTTCCCGCCCCCCATCCCCTTCCGCAGACTCTGCTGCACCTCTCCAAAATTGTAAGGGACTGCAAACAGTGCCGCAGACAGGAGGCCTCTGATTGAGCAAATCTACATCCGCTCAACGCTATGCGTATTTCCTGTTTGGTACCTTACCGGCTTGTTTTGTTTTTATGATCGCCATTGTGGAAAACGACTCCTGAAGATGGACCAGCTAGAAGAGCGAGGTGCGCAAGAACGCTGGGTACCTTTTTCCACCTGGATCCCCACTTTTTTTCACCCTCATGTCCCTCCGTTGTCGCACAAACTTGCCCCCACTTCCTCACCGCCTCGGCCGTATCTAGACCCACAGCTAGTTCCTGATTGTCCCTCTTACGTTGTGGCGTGGAATAACATAGCGCAGACCACGTTTCAATATTGGGCATAAATCCAAAATATCTGCAACAAGTTCACTGCGACACACTGCTGCAGGAGGATAACCAGCCCTTTAGGCGACAATAACTAGCTGCATTTTTTTCCTACATCAAATCAGTGAAGTTATTTCGTAGGTAGTAACAGAAAAATCAATATTAAACTAAATAAAGTGGAAGAGATACTGAAGCATCTTTTTATGACATGAATGATTAGCCTGGTTAAACCCACATGCTCGTAATAAATTAGGTGACGCCAGATTTTTACAAGCTAAACAAAGGTGAACAATGTAGTTATGACAAAAAAGGAAGACCTGTTACATTTATGTACATCATGAAAAATGGGTAGTTCCTGCTGATTTCTGTAGTGTTCAGCAGCAGGCCTGTCCATCTTTTTTACATTTTATGAGTTTTTTTGAGGGAGATTGTCCATCTTATTTTGTGGCGTGGAAAAACATAGCAAAGACAATGCTTCAATATTGGCCATAAATCAGAAATATCTGCAACAAGCTCACTGCGACACACTGCTGCCGGATTATAACCAGCCCTTAATCTGGGTTTAATCCTTATTCTGTTATTTAAAAGCAAATGAAGTTAACTGATCTATAATAAAGAATTTTTTTTCTGTATATATATATATATATATATATATATATGTGTGTGTGTATAAAACTCATGTTGATCAACTAGAACAGTACAAATAAGAATTTATATTATATGATTAAAAGATTGTTAAAAAAACAAATCACAAATCCATTATTAATGCTGTATAAAACAGAATGATGGAGTTGATCTTAATAGAGATGATTTTGTTTTTCTGCTGTTCCACCTTTAAAGAAACCACTTCCCTTCACATCCAGCCTCAGAGTGAAGATATTTGCCGTTCCCACGTAATAATCAGAGGAACTTATTCAGTCTAAAAAAAAGATGTCGATGTTACCATGTGACATTATTATCAGTATTTCTATTGCAACCATCTGAATGAAAAGTTCATGGCCAGGTTAGGAACCTTCACCACCATTCATCTGATTTAAAAGCCAATCTGTCATCTTTTATTAGTTTACATTGGAGTCAGAACCTGTGACTTTCCAGCCTCCATAATTACATCATTGAGCACAGAAAACTTAGTTGTTGAGTTACCATAAGCATACATTGGTACCTTTATTAGCTGTGGTTTATCGTTCTCTGTGTAATTTATAATCTTTCTGTCCATGTGATTTCTTTTTAATCACTTTATATTCCATTTGAGAAAGTTATGTTATTTATTTTTTAATCCCGTTATGTTAAATCTAAGGATTATGAGAAATTAAAGGTATTTCTGGGATAAATAGTTTTAATAAATCTGAAAAGTTCCTGAAGAAATGCAATTGTGTGTAAACTAAAATATATATTTCAACAAGAAATGGAGGAAGAAACCGAAAAAAAAAAAAAAAATTCTACTTATTTTGTGGTTTCTTTCATATTTTTTAGGCAATAAAAACACTTTAATGAAGATATTATGTCTTCTCTGCCTAATAGCTTTTTTTTAAATAAATGCTTTTCATTTCTGCCTGTCTTCAGTATGTTGCAATCTGAGCTGGGTGTCTTACAGTTTTAACGGCAGGGTTCCCACCAGGACTTTTTATGAGACATACAGGGAGGCGGGGAGAGACTTAATTACCTCCTTGGGGGGGCGTAGTTCATATGCAAACTATCAGACTAAACCAGAGAGATGTTGCACTGATCCAGTGGCAGCGTCTGTGTGGCCGATTGAAACGGCGGTGGCTACGAAGCGGGACAGCATTAGCTGCGTTTCCATCCAACCGAAATGCTAATGTTAAGCGACTTTTAAAAGTTTGAAGAAAAACCATCGCAAAGAGTAATGTCGTCCGGCATGGCTTTAATAAACAAGAAGCAGAAGCTGAAATATATCACTGACCACAGAGGCGAGTTGTTCTTACATTAACATGCTAGCAATGGCGATGTTCCTACATCAGAGCTGAGGATAAAATTGTTTCCTCCCCGTCTTTTGCATTAACCCTTTTTTGTAAAAGCCAATAACCAACTCAGGCAGAGATTTAAAATTTAACTCATCGGCTGATAGGGCTGAAGCTACGCTGACCAGATGAGGTTGGCTGAAATTTGGGAATGGTTAGGCTGACTTACATGTTTTCAGTGTAACCAGTGGTTAAGCTGAAATGTGCTGCAGAGCCCTGGCGGAGGGAGCCCAGATGTTGGTTAAATTGGTCTATTTTTAGCAGAGGCTATGTTGATATCAGTGGCCAGAACCCTCTATGGCAGAGGTCACGGATTAGCAGACAGTTGTTGGGATCAGGGACCACCTGCTGGCTAATCAGGACCCACCCTGATTTAAAACATTTCTAAATTACTGCATGCTGTCTGATGACAGTGTCTAATTTCACTTATCAATATGCCAAAGCACTGCAGAGCGTCCGGCACCAGGCGACACGTGATACAAATTAGCCAATGAGCTGCTGTCAGTCTGAGTTGCTGCTGCTGCTACTTTTAAACACAGCAGGCAAACCTGTGGCAAGCCGGGCGATGGGAAAGAAGGAGAAGATGATGAAAACAAGAGAAAGTAAGTGTGGACTGCTCACTGCAAAAAATATAAATCTCAATAAGTTATTTTTTCTTAAAATAAGTGTGTTTTTCCTTGATTTGAGGAGATAAGTAAGACACTTTGCCAATGGAACAAGACAATTTCCTTTTAAAATAAGAAAAAACTATTTTATCGTCTTATTTCAAGTAAATATTATCTAACTATCTTATTTTAAGAGTGAAAATACTCATTCCATTGGCAAATCATCTTATTTACCTGCTCAAATTAAGGCTAAATATACTTAATTTAAGCCATTTTTTACTTATTTCTGGATTGTTTTTGCAGTGCTGCAAGAACTGCTGTGAACTGGTGACAGAAAAGTGAAATGTTGTGCTCAAAGATGACCCTGAACATTTAGATTATGTTTGGCTCAACCTGCTTCTGTGAAGCAGGATTCTACGGAGCCCCTAAAGGGACAGGGAGGGAAAAAATAAACTTTTGCGAGATCACGCAAAACTTTTGCGAGATCTCGCAAAAAATTTACTTTTGCGAGATCCTGCAATACTTTTGCAAGATTTCGCAATACTTTTGCAGGATCTCGCAATACTTTTCTCGCAATACTTTCTCCCAAAACTACTGCGGGATCTCGCAAAAGTTTATTTTTTGCGAGATCCCGCAATAGTTTTGCGAGATCTCGCAAAACTATTGCGGGATCTCGCTGAAGTATTGCGGGATCTCGCAAAAGTTCTTGTTATACAATTCAACGTATAACATGGAGGCATAAAAACCTCATTTTATTTCAGTGTTAAATTCTGAATGAAGTAACAGATTATAATAAAAAATGTCTCTGGACCTTTACTGGTTGTTGATTGTCTTCATTCAGACCCCACTGATTTATACTTTGTTACCCTAGAACTCTGGTCTCATAATGACAAAGAAGATTCTAGTTTATCTGCAGAGAGTCCATCAGCCCTTGCTTCACTATATTTAGTGTTGGCATCAAGAATCCACAAGAGGCTTTGGCTCCTGCCTCAATTATATATCTAACTGAAGGTATCTGAAAATTCTGGCACGCAAAGGCTTTTTTACACATCTTTGCTCAGCTCCATGCTGGATGTCAGGACCTCTCTCTGACTCCTCGAGTCATCGCTGCTATCTTTGGATGCAAAAGAAGAGCAAGTAACCTTTTTGTTTGGAACGCCCTAGCTGTTTAGTGTACGACATCAAGTCTTTTCAACTCAAAGGTTTTTAAGTGAAGTCTCTATTCATTGAAATAAGGCAGAGTTGTCTAAAGTTTCTAATTTTTTCCATCAGATCTAAAGTCATTAGTTTTGTGACGCCTGTGACTCTAAACTACATCTTTTTTTTATTCCCCGTTAAATATTGCATTAGACGAACACATAACTAACATTAAAAAACAGCAAATAAAGCCTCAGCTTGATATTTATCTCTGTAAATATAATGTAGTTAAAACTTCTGGATGCTGTTTTTCATATTCTCTTTTTTTCTGGTCACCTGCTCTCGGTCGGCCCTCCTCTTCTCCTCCTCCACTCTCCTGCGCTCTTCCTCCTCTTTGCGACGGCGCTCCATCTCCTCCATGCGCCTTTTCTCCTCCTGCTCCCGCCGGCGTTGCTCGCGCTCCTGCTGCCTCCTCATCTCGCGCTCCCGCCGTTGTTGCTGTAGGTGAAGAGGAGTGGTTTGTTACAGCAGGTTTCACCAGAAACCTCCAGCTGGTCGGGTTAAGGTGGTCAGTATGCTTCCTGCAGGATGTTACTCTGCTTTCAACACACCGCCTTTAATCTTAAAACAAAGACAGGATTTATACAGGAATTATATCTCTAATTGAATGCGTTTTAATGCTCTTAAAAATAATTTTAATGCCATCAATAAGTACCCATGACTATTTTGGCAAAATTGTCATCTTTAGCGTCATAAGGCTGCAACCAATTTCTCGCTTTCCAGCCACTTTTGTTGAAATTAGCATTTTCCCGTTCTCTAGCTTTTTCTCCACCTCGAGCTTCTTTTCCTTACATACAGCTTTACGATCAACCGGAAGCAGTTCCCCGCAAATATATCACAATATTATATATCTGACGAAATTGTTTTTATAAACTTTTTTTTTTATAAAGCATTTTGCCATGATAATCACAATTAATAAATTTTAAAGCAAATTGACTTCTTAATGTAAAAAATAAAAATTTTATGATTTTAAATGATCCGCTGAAACCCTGCAAAGAACGCTCTTCATCTCTTTTTTATACTTCAAGTTTGTTTAAGTTTTCTTAAATTTCTCACTTTTGAAATAAAGTTTCAGTTAATTATTTTCTTGCAAGAGGATTTATTTTTACAAACGTTCAAACTCATAAACACAGAAATTCCTTGGTGCTATTTCATTAAATAAACTGGAGGTGAGTAATTAATATGTCTCCTTTATGCTAATGTACAATCTTATTTTGAAGGCACAAAGAGAACAGAAACTGGCTGAATCCCGCGGTGAAAAATCTGATGATGTGTACTCATCTACCTGTCCACTGAAAAAAAAAAATGCAAGTTCTAATCGTACAAGGCTCCTCTCCTGTGGAACCAACTACCAGTTTCAGTCTGTGAGGCAGAAACCCTGTCTACTTTTAAGGGTCTGCTTAAAAATTTCTTTTTTGATAAAGCTTAGTTAGAGTGGCTCAGGTTATCCTGAGCTGTCTCTAAAGTTATGCTACTCTAGGCTTAGACTTTTGGAGGATATAGGGAGTCCAGTTCTGTTTAGTTCACTCTATATGATCCTGTATGAAACTTTGGCCGTTTCTCAATTCACAAGAACCTGGGTACGGACTCATGTCCTTGCCAAGTATGTTCTACAGAAGAACACAGGAAAGTATGGACTGGATTTCATCTCCTGTTATTAATAGTCTCTAAATAATAATAAATTCGGACTTTTTTCATCTAGTGGGGGAATAATAATTAAAACAGCCAGATAAACACAAATCAAATGAATTTTTTTTGCCAAATAAAACAAAAAACTCCCCATCAAAGCCAGCGGTCCTTCACACACGGCTATGCAGAGAGAGGGCTGCTGCAGACGAACTGTTGTTAGACCTGGCTGCTGTTACCCTCTGAGCTCCGCTGGTTGCCACGGTCCTCTCCACTTTGGAATTTTCTTTTAAATTATTAATTAAATCAGTAAAGTAGTATAGTAGTATAATGTTCTTGCCTCAAGTGATCTTAAAATGTACTTTTACTGAATAAAAGCAACAAAAAAGAGAACTTTTAACTTAATACTCTTAGCTCTGTGAGCGCTCCATTGGAAGCTGCTGCTGCCGCAGTGCATGCTGGGACAGCTGTCTATCTCAAGGTATGATGAGTCTGCTCTGATGCATGCTGGGTAAATATGGAGGGGTGAGAACAACATCCAGGGACTTTGTCCATTCTCGGTCTTGTTGTTCTTGTGAATTGGAACAGTACTAGGGCTGAGGCTGATAAAGTTTAATGAGCACATGAGAACGAGAGAGATTCTGTATTTCTATGTTCTAAGTTCTATCCAACAAACACAGTAAGGAAAATAGTATTTTTGTATAATTAAGACCAAAAATTTATTTCACTTTTCCAAACATAAAATCTGTCCTTTTTACTTTTTACTTAAAGGAGTTCAAATGGAACATTCACTGTTACCAGTCTTTTTTACACGGGTATCTGTATTTTAACTTAAGTAAAGATACATTTGAGCAGATAAAATAACACCTTGTCCGTTTTTAAAGCAGAATGTATATATAAGTACACTTAAAGCCTGTGGGTTTTTTTGACGTTTTGAACTATCAGGTGAGGATAATCTCCTCATGCTCACCTCCTCCAGCCGTCTGCGCTGCTCCTTCTGCTGCTCGATACGTTTCTGCCTCTCAGCCAGCAGTTGGCGCTTGTACTCCTCCTGCTCGCGGAGCTGCTGCTCCTGGAGGAGCTGCTGGCGGCGGAGGGCCTCGGAGCGCTCCTTGTTCTCCTGCTGCAGCCGGATGAAGTCGCGGCGCAAAGTCGACTCGCCCGGCACGTTGACTATGGAGCTATACAGCAGAGATGACAGGAATAACGAGACGGTGTCACTGATACAACCTGGCTAATTGAAAAAGATCCAATCTGACCTCTGAAAAGAGCAGTTAGGATAAGAGGTGAGATGTTAAGGTTGTTTAGCATAAACATTTGAAAATTAACCTCTTAAATATCGATCTAGAAGAGTGTTAACATCAACAAATAGACAGCACAAGATATTGAGACTATTCTGCTCCATATTTAAATGTTTGGCTTAACATCCCACCTCTTATCCTAATTCCATACTTGAATGTATAACTTTTGTATTATCAAAAACTATGTCTTTTTATTTAATCTTTTTTATTCCTAACAGTGTTTTCGTCAGATCTTTTCTCTTCCTAAAATGCCGAATGTTCTTTGAACACATCCAGGTCATATGCTCAGTCTGATTTGCATCAATCAGTTTTCCAGCTGTATTTACTGATGGAACCATCGTAACCCCCTTTGGATATTCAATCATGCTGGTGCAGGTTCTCAGTCATCCAGGTCAGTCTTTCCAAAATAGAAAATTAAAAACAATCCACTGGACTTTTCTTTCCAACTTTGAAGACGTTTTGCTTCCCATCCAGGAAGCTTTTTCAGTTCAAAATGTCAGGAATAGCGTTGAGTTGGAGGTTTTATACAGTAGCCCATCAAAGCCTTGTTTTGTTTTTTTGAAAACATGCTAATTGGAACAAATTAAGGGGTTCATCCATTTGCAATGGGGGTCGTTTGGCTTCTGTTGTTAGACTGCAGTGACCCATATCCATCTAAGTGTCAGAAAGGTTGGTCGTTAAAGGGGATTTTTGGCCTGGCTGAACGTCTTCAAGCTTGGAAACAAAGTCCAGTGGATTGTTTTTAATTTTCTTTTTAGGGATATCCATTTATCCATCCATTTTCTGTCACGCTTTATCTCTGCCGGGGTCATGAGGGGTCCTATCTCCAGCTGTCTACGGGCGAGAGAAGTGGGGGGACAGGTCGCCAGTCCGTCACAGGGCGACAAAGAGATAAATAAACACACTCACACCTAAGGAGAATCTAGAGAAGCCAATTAACCTGACAGTCATGTTACTGTGAGAGAAAGCCGGAGTACCCAGAGAGAACAAGGTACACACCGGAGAAGATGCAAACTCTATGCAGAAAGACCCCAGGCCGGGAATTGAACCCAGAACCATCTTGCTGCAAGGCAGCAGTGCTACCTACTGCGTCACTGAGCAGCCCCTTTAGATAATATTACAATTTAATAAAATGAATATACTTTTATTTTAATGTTATATCTGCTGGATGTAATTGGAACTGGATGTAAAGATTTACTACAACATGTGAACATGTCTGGCGGCACACACTCCAGCCGTCACTTTAACTCTCCTGTTTCACTTCCGTTCCTCTGATGTCTCTCAAACTATTATCAAGTGGGAATGCTTATGCATTCCCACTTATTGTTTTTCACTTTTAATTTTTCTGACTCTAACTAGTCCCGCAGTTTTCAACTGATTTCAACGTAGGGATTTTTGTCAGGATTCAGGAAAATCAGGATTTTGACAATTATACACTTTTTTACATCGTCACCACGCCTAGACGAAATATTGTAGAAATATGAAAGTTACACCAGTTGTAGTCCAAAGATGGCTGACGCTCACGGTGAAAGAATTTTTTGAATACCTAATACGGTTTTGGCTCACCGCTCGTTTGTTCGGAGGGAAAGTTTTGCTTTTGAGAGTTCTGCTCTACCATTAAGCTGCATGTTATTCAATGAGACCAGCAGGATTTCTCAAACCTTTATATTCCTCCTTCCCATTAAGGTTGTGAATGAGCTACAGCCATGAAAGTTACCCCAATCGGAGACAAAGGATAGCTCTCGCTTAGACTGAAAGAATTTTTTAGATACCATTTACGGTTTGTCTTCAGCACTTGTTTGTTCGGAGCTGATAATCCCATTCAAAAAAGCCTGAGAACTAAGGAACGAAAGTGATGCGCATGTCTCTCTGTCACTGACAGGCTCGTTAACGTTGTCAAGGTAACCGTGCTTCAAAGGATTTTACCTCCACCACTTTAAACAGCACATTTTAATCTAATGGAGGGAGACAACACTGATTTAACATTAGGAAGTGGATACAATATGACTACTGGCCATGACCCTTCCCTTCACACGCAACCCTGATAGACTTTCAAAATAAGACTCCGGGGACCCTTCAAAATAAAAGCCCCTACATTAAACTCATATTTTTTTCCCAGCATATGGGTCAACATTATGATCCGAACTCAACCACTTTTTTAAAATTAGACTCTAGGGGGGTTTTCAAAACACACCCCACAGCAAATTTCAAAATAAAAGCCTCCCATTGCCACTTCATCTACTGCCCTAATAACAGGGGAAAGAGTGATTTAAGGATTGGAAAGTCATCAAGTATCACTGCTGGGTCTGACCACTTTACTCAACACACAACCATGCTAGACTTTCAAAATAAGACTCCAGTGACCCTACAAAATAAAAGCCTCTATATTATACTTGTGTATTAATTGATGCAAATGGCTCAGCATTATGACCCAAACTCTACCAGCTTGTTTCTATTAGACTCTAGGGACCTTTTCAAAACATACCCCAGAGCGAATTTCACAATAAAAGTCTCCCATTTATGCTCTAACACAGCATCTATTCACCCAATAACATGGAAAACAAGTGATTGCATATTTAGAAATGGATTCTATATCACTGCCTGGCATGACCCTTCCCTTGACACACATCCATGATAGACTTTCAAAATAAGACTAAAGGGACTCTACAAAATAAAAGCCTCTTTCTTACATACACTCATTCATTGTGCCATATGGCTTGTAGCTATGACCCAAACTCAACCAATTTCTTCAAATTACACTACCAAGGCCTGTTGACCCCACACCTAAGTGCATATTTCTTAATCAGGTTCTAAGATTTACACTGTAATAAAGCATCTGCTAACCTCGTAACATGCAGCCTAAGCCTGCCAACGGTGCTGTCATCAACACAGTGGCTCATAACATGCAGGTTAGATTTTTTGATAAATTCAGCTCCTTAAATTTTATTAGCTCTCTTTTTATAAGCTTCTCTCTCTGTCCTTCCTGTGCTTCTTATGGTCAGTCTTGTACTTTGGTTTGTGGATTTTCAAGCTTCTAAGGATGACACTGTTTTCTCTATGCTGATCAACTGACACATTTTAATTAATTTCAAATTTTTTTTACAAGTCTTGACATTTCCACATATGATTTCAGACTTTAATACTTATTATACATATTCAACATTTATCTTCCTATCCTTAAGCTACTCATTTTTTTCTTCAACTAGTTAAGATTCAACTTTTTTACTGTTTATGTTACCGTTTTTGCTATTTTATAAAATTTCTGCATATTTTTTCCAATTTTGGCTTGATTCTGCTCTCTTTCTGGAAAGGCATTAAGCTTTTCTGCTTGCTGTTAATTGATAACATGTCTGCCATGTTTCTGCTGTTGGCTTCAGCTACTTTTAAGAAACTAATTAGACATTTTTTGCTATTCCATACCATTTCAGCAGCTTTGACTTTAAATTTCAGCTTGTTTCTGCCATTTTAACCTTACAGCTTACAGTTTAGCGTACAGCATTCACACTGCATTTTCGCAGGAAATGCAACTTTTTCTAGTTATTATTATTATTCCGTACGTTTTTGGTCGTTAAACTACTTCAACAGTTTTCAGCCGATTTCAACAAATTTGGTATCAAAACGTTCAGCTTGTTCAGGAGAATTCTGCTATATCTTTTGGTAAAGATATTTCTTGTAGTTTTTGCGATATTCAGCTTTTTCTGCGATTTTTGGCCCCATTGAAATGCATGTAGAATTCTCAGATTTCAGCAAAATTCAGCTAAAACTTCAGCATCTTTGACCTTTAACTACTTCAGCATACTTTCAGCTAGAAACACCATTCAACTTTTAAAATGTTTCCGTATCTTTCTGCTATTACTGTTTAACTCAGCTTTTTGCTAACTTTTACAGTTTTGCTTCAGTGAAGCTTCAAACTTTAAAAGAAATTTTAACGATTTTCAGATTTATAATGGAAGTCTATGGACGGAATTCTTCAACTGTCAGAGTGCGTGCTCTAGCTTTTGAGCTGTTCTGGTTTTTCCGAACAAATTCTTCTCACTCCCTCATTTTTCACTCAATTGAAATAAATTTTACATCAAAACGTAGGGATTTTTGTCAGGATTCAGGAAATGTAACCCTCATTTGTGTGGCATTTACGGTTTTCCGACAGTTTGGCCCAGACCACGAAGAAGTCCACACTTCCCCAATAGAAATCCAATGAGAGCTCTCTGAAAATCCGAACTGAAAATTCAAAAAAACAGACTTTTTCGTATCGCTCCCATTCGGGAACCGTTCGACGTAGCAACATGAGCCTTGGTGAAGTTGTTCCTCAGACCTTCCTAGCACTCACATTGAAGGAAGTGTGTCGATATCTTTTATCGTTTAGCTAGGAAAAAGGTTTGTTCGGGGGTAACAAATCTGTCCGAACCCCAAAATCAAGATTTTGACAATTATACACTTTTTTACATCGTCACCACGCCTAGACGAAATATTGTAGAAATATGAAAGTTACACCAGTTGTAGTCCAAAGATGGCTGACGCTCACGGTGAAAGAATTTTTTGAATACCTAATACGGTTTTGGCTCACCGCTCGTTTGTTCGGAGGGAAAGTTTTGCTTTTGAGAGTTCTGCTCTACCATTGTGCTGCATGTTATTCAATGAGACCAGCAGGATTTCTCAAACCTTTTTATTCCTCCTTCCCATTAAGGTTGTGAATGAGCTACAGCCATGAAAGTTACCCCAATTGGAGACAAAGGATAGCTCTCGCTTAGACTGAAAGAATTTTTTAGATACCATTTACGGTTTGTCTTCAGCACTCGTTTGTTCGGAGCTGATATTCCCATTCAAAAAAGCCTGAGAGGAAAGGAACGAAAGTGAAGCGCATGTCTCTCTGTCACTGACAGGCTCGTTAACGTCGTCAAGGTAACCGTGCTTCAAAGAGATTTTACCTCCACCACTTTAAACAGCACATTTTAATCTAATGGAGGGAGACAACACTGATTTAACATTAGGAAGTGGATACAATATGACTACTGGCCATGACCCTTCCCTTCACACGCAACCCTGATAGACTTTCAAAATAAGACTCCGGGGACCCTTCAAAATAAAAGCCCCTACATTAAACTCATATTTTTTTCCCAGCATATGGCTCAACATTATGACCCAAACTCAACCACTTTTTTAAAAATGAGACTCTAGGGGTTTTTCAAAACACACCCCACAGCAAATTTCAAAATAAAAGCCTCCCATTGCCACTTCATCTACTGCCCTAATAACAGGGGAAAGAGTGATTTAATGATTGGAAAGTCATCAAGTATCACTGCTGGGTCTGACCCTTTTCTCAACACACAACCCTGCTAGACTTTCAAAATAAGACTCCAGTGACCCTACAAAATAAAAGCCTCTATATTATACTCGTGTATTAATTGATGCAAATGGCTCAGCATTATGACCCAAACTCTACCAGCTTGTTTCTATTAGACTCTAGGGACCTTTTCAAAACATACCCCAGAGTGAATTTCACAATAAAAGTCTCCCATTTACGCTCTAATACAGCATCTATTCACCCAATAACATGGAAAACCAGTGATTTCATATTTAGAAATGGATTCTATATCACTGCTGGGCATGACCCTTCCCTTGACACACATCCATGATAGACTTTCAAAATAAGACTAAAGGGACTCTACAAAATAAAAGCCTCTTCCTTACATACACTCATTCATTGTGCCGTATGGCTCGTAGCTATGACCCAAACTCAACCAATTTCTTCAAATTACACTACCAAGGCCTGTTGACCACACACCTCAGTGCATATTTCTTAATCAGGTTCTAAGATTTACACTGTAATAAAGCATCTGCTAACCTCGTAACATGCAGCCTAAGCCTGCCAACGGTGCTGTCATCAACACAGCGGCTCGTAACATGCAGGTTAATTTTTTTGATAAATTCAGCTCCTTAAGTGGTATTAGCTCTCTTTCTATAAGCTTCTCTCTCTGTCCTTCCTCTGCTTCTCATGGTCAGTCTTGCACATAGGTTTGTAGATTTTCAATCCTCTAAGGATGACACTGTTTTCTTTATGCTGATCAACCGACACATTTTAAATCATTTCAAATTGTTTTGCCAAGTCTTGACATTTCCACATATGATTTCAAAATTTTGATACTTATTCAATACCATCTTCCTCAACATTTTACTTCCCATCCTTAAGCTACTAATTTTTTCTTCAACCAGATAAGATTCAAGTTTTTCTTTGTAATTTCTTTTCTAATTCAGCTAATTTAATACTTTTCAGCCTATGTTGTGAACTTTGGCTTCATTCTGCTCTCTTTCTGGACAGGAATTAAGCTTTTCTGTTTGCTGCTAATTCATAACACGCCTGACATGTTTCTGGAAAGTAGGTAAACCCCCCTTCAAAATTTCTTTAGACATTTTTCTAGAAACTTGGGAGACATTATATTAAGACCCTTCTAGTGCCCACATTCAAGACATTTTTTGATATCATGTATGGTTTGGCTGTGCAGCTTTTAAGATGAGTCTGTTTCTGCCATTTTACTGCCAAATGATTCTACCCTACAAAATCTTCAGATGATTCAATTGTTTTCTGCAGTTTGAAGTTTCTGATGACTTCCTATCACATTTTCATATGTTCCTCAGCTAATTTCAGTTTCTTTCGCTAATTTTTATTATTTCATTCAGCAAAAGCATTCCCACTTTGCTGTTTCTGCGAAACAGCTTTTTCTAGTTATTATTATTATTATTCCGTACGTTTTTGGTCGTTAAACTACTTCAACAGTTTTCAGCCGATTTCAACAAATTTGGTATCAAAACGTTCAGCTTCTTCAGGAGAATGATGCTATATCTTTTGGTAAAGATATTTCTTGTAGTTTTTGCGATATTCAGCTTTTTCTGCGATTTTTGGCCCCATTGAAATGCATGTAGAATTCTCAGATTTCAGCAAAATTCAGCTAAAACTTCAGCTACTTTGACCTTTAACTACTTCAGCATACTTTCAGCTAGAAACACCATTCAACTTTTAAAATGTTTCCGTATCTTTCTGCTATTACTGTTTAACTCAGCTTTTTGCTAACTTTTACAGTTTTGCTTCAGTGAAGCTTCAAACTTTTAAAGAAATTTTACAGATTTTCAAATTTATAATGGAAGTCTATGGACGGAATGTTCAACTGCTAGAGTGTGCCACTCTAGCGTTTTCAAACATTTCACTCATGCCGAACAGCTTCAACTCACTCGCTCATTTTTTACTCTATCTAGATAAATTTTACATCAAAACGTAGGGATTTTTGTCAGGATTCAGGAAATGTAACCCTCATTTGTGTGGCATTTACGGTTTTCCGACAGTTTGGCCCAGACCACGAAGAAGTCCACACTTCCCCAATAGAAATCCAATGAGAGCTCTCTGAAAATCCGAACTGAAAATTCAAAAAAACAGACTTTTTCGTATCGCTCCCATTCGGGAACCGTTCGACGTAGCAACATGAGCCTTGTGGAAGTTGTTCCTCAGACCTTCCTAGCACTCACATTGAAGGAAGTGTGTCGATATCTTTTATCGTTTAGCTAGGAAAAAGGTTTGTTCGGGGGTAACAAATCTGTCCGAACCCCAAAATCAAGATTTTGACAATTATACACTTTTTTACATCGTCACCACGCCTAGACGAAATATTGTAGAAATATGAAAGTTACACCAGTTGTAGTCCAAAGATGGCTGACGCTCACGGTGAAAGAATTTTTTGAATACCTAATACGGTTTTGGCTCACCGCTCGTTTGTTCGGAGGGAAAGTTTTGCTTTTGAGAGTTCTGCTCTACCATTGTGCTGCATGTTATTCAATGAGACCAGCAGGATTTCTCAAACCTTTATATTCCTCCTTCCCATTAAGGTTGTGAATGAGCTACAGCCATGAAAGTTACCCCAATTGGAGACAAAGGATAGCTCTCGCTTAGACTGAAAGAATTTTTTAGATACCATTTACGGTTTGTCTTCAGCACTCGTTTGTTCGGAGCTGATATTCCCATTCAAAAAAGCCTGAGAACTAAGGAACGAAAGTGATGCGCATGTCTCTCTGTCACTGACAGGCTCGTTAAGCGTTGTCAAGGTAACCGTGCTTCAAAGGATTTTACCTCCACCACTTTAAACAGCACATTTTAATCTAATGGAGGGAGACAACACTGATTTAACATTAGGAAGTGGATACAATATGACTACTGGCCATGACCCTTCCCTTCACACGCAACCCTGATAGACTTTCAAAATAAGACTCCGGGGACCCTTCAAAATAAAAGCCCCTACATTAAACTCATATTTTTTTCCCAGCATATGGCTCAACATTATGACCCAAACTCAACCACTTTTTTAAAATTAGACTCTAGGGGGTTTTCAAAACACACCCCACAGCAAATTTCAAAATAAAAGCCTCCCATTGCCACTTCATCTACTGCCCTAATAACAGGGGAAAGAGTGATTTAATGATTGGAAAGTCATCAAGTATCACTGCTGGGTCTGACCCTTTTCTCAACACACAACCCTGCTAGACTTTCAAAATAAGACTCCAGTGACCCTACAAAATAAAAGCCTCTATATTATACTTGTGTATTAATTGATGCAAATGGCTCAGCATTATGACCCAAACTCTACCAGCTTGTTTCTATTAGACTCTAGGGACCTTTTCAAAACATACCCCAGAGCGAATTTCACAATAAAAGTCTCCCATTTATGCTCTAATACAGCATCTATTCACCCAATAACATGGAAAACCAGTGATTTCATATTTAGAAATGGATTCTATATCACTGCTGGGCATGACCCTTCCCTTGACACACATCCATGATAGACTTTCAAAATAAGACTAAAGGGACTCTACAAAATAAAAGCCTCTTCCTTACATACACTCATTCATTGTGCCGTATGGCTTGTAGCTATGACCCAAACTCAACCAATTTCTTCAAATTACACTACCAAGGCCTGTTGACCACACACCTCAGTGCATATTTCTTAATCAGGTTCTAAGATTTACACTGTAATAAAGCATCTGCTAACCTCGTAACATGCAGCCTAAGCCTGCCAACGGTGCTTTCATCACCACAGCGGCTCGTAACATGCAGGTTAGTTTTTTTGATAAATTCAGCTCCTTAAGTGGTATTAGCTCTCTTTCTATAAGCTTCTCTCTCTGTCCTTCCTCTGCTTCTCATGGTCAGTCTTGCACATAGGTTTGTAGATTTTCAATCCTCTAAGGATGACACTGTTTTCTTTATGCTGATCAACATTTTTTGATATCATGTATGGTTTGACTGTGCAGCTTTTAAGATGAGTTTGTTTCTGCCATTTTACTGCCGGATGTTTCTACCCTATAAAATCTTCAGATGATTCAATTGTTTTCTGCAGTTTGAAGTTTCTAATGACTTCCTATCACATTTTTATATGTTCTGCAGTTAATTTCAGCTTTTTTCATTCAGCAAAAGCATTCCCACTTTGATGTTTCTCCGAAACAGCTTTTTCTAGTTTGTTTCTATTTTAGATCTTTTCCCCCAACATTAGTTAATCAAACAGCTTAAATGACTTTTTCTATGATTCTTATCCTTCTGGTTTTTACAAAGTTGAACCTAAAAAAAGCTTGAATCTGCTTTTTTAAGTCGTTTTCTTTAAATGTGAAATGTTCACCTTGGCTCTCCTTCTTGCTCAGAAGCTTCTTCCTCCTCTTCTTCACTGCCACTGTATTCATACTCTGTCTCGTCTGGCAGGTAAATAAAAATAAAAAAAGGCATGAAACACTTAAAATGTATTCTTAGATCAACTGCAAACTATAGAGAAAAACATGAGCTCACCTTTCTCTCCCCTCTTCTTCTTGGTTCTGTCGATGTGATCTTTGAGCTGAATGCGGACCTGCCTCTCATTGGGCTGGTCCCGAATGAAGGGGTGCTTCAGGAGCTGATCAGTGGGGGGGCGCTGGGTGTAGTTCTTCACCAGGCAGCCTTCGATGAAGCTGAAGAACTTCTTGGACCTGTGAGGGTGGAACAGAGCTGTGATCACGTATTCACGGAGGAGTCCGTCCTTGGATCAAGGACAAAGAAAGAAGCGGTCAGCTCACCATTTCTTGGACTTCAGTCGAGGAGGCGGGTTTCTGGGGATGAGGAAGAGGGCTCTCATTGGATGCATGTCGCACAGAGCTGCAGCGAAGAACAGACAGACACTGATATTAACTAAATCATTTCATCCTGTAAAATTTAAAACATACTTTTGCAAACTGGGTTAAGCCAAATTAGGGCTGGGCGCTATGGCCTGAAAATAAAATCTCAGTTTTGTTTATTTTTAATTCAAATTAGGATTTTTTACAATTTCCCCCCTACTTATTAACATCCACCCGATCGCCGGCGCTACGTTGTGCATATTTACATTAAACACAGCAGTACAGTTAAAAATAACACTGTTTAAACTTTTACTAAAATAGACAATACGTATATCCTTAGAAAGCTTAGATTCTCCACAATATAACAACCCAGTTAATTTTATGGAAACCATGAGCACCAAACGCTGGTGAAGATTCTCAGTCATCCAGGTCATGGTCATTCCAAAAAAAGAAAATTAAAAATTATTAACTGGACTTTGTTTCCAAGTTAGAAGACGTTTCGCTTCACATACAAGAAGCTTTCTTAATTCAAAATGTCAGAAATAGCGTTGAGTACAAGGTTTTATACAGTCGTACCTCCAACTCAATGCTGTTCCTCACATTTTGAATTGAAAAAGCTTCCTGGATGGGAAGCGAAACATCTTGAAACTTGGAAACAAATTCCAGTGGATTGTTTTTAATTTTCCTTTTTTGGCATGAGCACCAAAGCACAATTAATAAAGATATAGCAGCAAGTTAAATCAGAATTTCTAAAATAAAGCTCCGACTTCCTAGTTTTGAAGCGTTCCTCAGGCCGTATTATAAATCCCATCTTAGATTGTTTATATTCCATTTAGTGATGCACCGATACCTGATACCTGGCTGTGCAGTATCGGCCGATACCATCTGTTTGAAATTGATATTTGTGTATATATAAAGAACTGCATACTACTTGGATTTAAAATAATTGCCATCATGGCTTTGTCAAGCTGCTGCCTACCTTTGTGAAGCAGGAAAACTTTTTATTGCCTACCTGGAATGGGTGACAATAGTTAAATAAACTTTTGGCTCTCAAAGGCCAAAATAGTGCGACATTCGTGAAATTATACCATGAATAACAGTACTTCAACAGTAAGACAGTAAAATTACATTAATAATTTAATAACCTCTTTTAAACCCCAAGTTTTGGCTCTCAAATGCCAAAATAGTGCAACTTTCATGAACTTATATAACATCTATAACACTAGTGCAACAGTAAGAAAGTGAAATTACTCTCATTGGTCTTGAAGAGGGTAATAGCGATAGGTAACGCTAGTGAGTGTCGGTAGAGAAAAGGCTGCGTTCAAGTGACATACAAACATCAAAAATGGTATCGGTGTCCTATTTGTTGGTACTCGCCGACGCTGATACCACCATTTTAGAGCTGGATCGGGTCCACAGATAAAAAAGTAATCCAGCATATTAGTAATAAAATCGTTCCATGATGAGAAAATTGCCACATAAAGTCAGTTTTTTACCATTAGAAAAGTCCCATCCTTATAGCTAATGCTAATTACCCTAGTTTCCACAAACATTTCCCATTGGTGTTTGGTATGTTTGTTTTCGTCACCCTCCAGCCTGGGCTTCTAGCTGAGTTTTGTTGGTTTGTTCGAGGTTGTTTGTCCTGGAGAGACTGGCATTTTTTAGATTCTGTTTAGGATGCTGAAAAATGTTTGTGGGGCCTTTAGGTAAATGTTGCAGCGTGGGGTTTCTTGCTCCACGTCTGTCGCAGCAAACCCAAACCAGTTAAAAACAACGGATGATTTTATTCCTTTCTTCCAGACTAACTTCCCATCCTCACCGGTAGCTTGCCAAACTGCACCATGGGAGTAAAACTACAGCTACGGAGGCTCTGGGGAGCCAAAATTGTGGCATTACACAAAAAAAATCTATTTTTTGTTTTTAGATCGTCCGCAACATTTCATTAATTCATTAAGTTAATCAAATACTGATCATTCCTTTTTCCCTGTTATTATAACACAATGTTTAGCTCATCCAATGCAATGCATCCCGTTTTCTTTAAAGTAAAAGAATAAATGAGAAGTAAAACAAGCAGGTTGTACTTACGGGGAGCTCCCTCAGCCATCTCTATGGCTGTGATTCCACAGGACCACAGGTCACTCTGGAAGACAGAGAACAGACCAAGAACAAACACAGGTATTAAAACATACAATAACAGATGTTTGAGGTATCTAATCTTTTTTTCTCATTAAATGGAAGAAAATTACTTGATTTATTAATATTTTTGTGGTCTAAGAAAGTTTTGATGGTGACATTTAAATGTTTTCATCTCTTCTGTCCATCTGAAGCCTCCTTACCCTGTAGTCGTAGGTAGCGTCGGGGTTTTCATCACAAGCAATAACCTCTGGGGCCATCCAGTAAGGCGTCCCGATGAATGTGTTCCTTCGACCTACTGTTCTGTCCAGCTGAGCGCTCACACCGAAATCCACTGCGGGGAAAAAAACAGTAATAATCCGTTCTGCATCCTTCACACTTTGTGTGTTTTCCACAAATACATTCGTATATATAGCAGCTCCCGATTCTGTAAATAAATAACTGACCTAAAGATGAAAACAGCAGTGCTCTGAAAATTTTAAGTTATTTTTAATAGGAATATTAAACACCAGTATTTGAGCCTTTTTGACAGAATGAGCACAAAGAGAAGAAGATAGACAAGAGATGCAATGGCCAGGCTGAAAAGGTTAAATAATGACATAATCCGTATGGTCATTACCAGTGCGTAGGTTAATTTCTAATTTAAAACTATTTCAACCAATTACTTTTCACATATTGGTAAAGCCGTTAAAAATTGTCTTTATAAACTTACTTTGCCTGCAGGAGGAAGAGATTTTGCTTAATGAGAGACGTACTATTTCATTATAGTCTGTCTGTCTGTCTGTCTGTCTGTCTGTCTGTCTGTCTGTCTGTCTATCTCTCTCTCTCTCTCTATATATATATATATATATATATATATATATTAGTGCTGTCAATCGATTAAATTTTTTTAATCGCGATTAATCGCATCAATGCCTAAGTTAACTCGCGATTAATCGCATTTTAATCGCACATATTTTTCCTGATTGAAAATCATTTAAATACTCTCGATGACATACAAAAAAATACATACAGGCAAGGTTTGTGCCAATGTTCTTTTTTTTAAATGAGAACAGGTCACAGACACTGATTTATGCCATAGAAACATATGGCAAGAAGATGGGGAGGCATGTAGCAAAAAATAACAAATATGTAGGCCAAAAAAAAGGCCCTGAAAACAGGCTGATGTAAAAGACAGTCTTTACAGTTAATACAGTCTTTTGAACAAAGACAAGCATTTTACCCTACTGCTATAAAATGCAGTAGAGTTAACATTAGATGTTAATTAACCAAGATAATAATGAACAATTTTCAATCAATACATCAAAATCAATAGACCGACATCACTAGATGGAGGTAGTCTATGCTCTAGAAAGTTACTTTTCAGCCTCTTAACAAAAATGAGAACACACACACAAGCACCCACCCACCCACACACACACACACACACACATGCAATACTGACCTGTGGCGTACACAGACGGCAAGAGTGCCGTAGCAGATTCCATTTCACCTCAGTAATCTGTTTTCTCAGCGTATTTCAGGTTGCTACTAGTTACCAGACACTCAACTTGTTTGTTGGTGGTGGGGCTTAAAGAAAAGGCACTAGCGTCACCCAGTGTATGAGCGTCTTTTTCCCTTGAGGAGCTCCGCTCTCGAAGCCTATGAGAAATGCATACACTGGGGGAAAATAGCCCCGCCTTCCCGCAGGCTGCAGCGGGATGTACTTGGAAAATTGCACCATAAAACCACATAGCGTTAATCTCACGTTTAAAAAATTATCGCCGTTAAAATGGCCTCGCGTTGACGCGTTAATAACGCGATAATTTTGACAGCACTAATATATATATATATATATATATATATATATATATATATATATATATATATATATATATATAGTACAGACCCACCTTCTCATTAAAAGACTATTTTCATGACTATGAAAATTGTAGATTCACAATGAAGGCATCAAAACTATGAATTAACACATGTGGAATTATATACTTAACAAAAAACTGTGACACAACTGAAAAAAATTTCAGTTCTTCAGGTTCTTCAAAGTAGCCACCTTTTGCTTTGATTACTGCTTCTCACACTTGGTACTCTCTTGATGAGCTTCAAGAGGTAGTCACCTTTATATATATCTATATATATATATATATCTATATATTTCTATCTATAGATAGATAGATAGATAGATAGATAGATAGATAGATAGATAGATAGATAGATAGATAGATAGATAGAGAGATAGATAGATAGATAGATAGATAGATAGATAGATAGATAGATAGATAGATAGATAGATAGATAGATAGATAGATAGATAGATAGATAGATAGATAGATAGATAGATAGATAGATAGATAGATAGATGGATGGATGGATGGATGGATGGATGGATGGATGGATGGATGGATGGATGGATGGATGGATGGATGGATGGATGGATGGATGGATTTCGGTTGATTCATTACTTCTGTGATACCCAAACGGTGAGGTACTTCCGCTCAAGCTGCGACAGTTTAATTGAAGGGTGAATTGGTAGCACAGAACTGAATAAAATAACAAGTTTGAAAGTTTTTTATGATTATTTATTTATCGAAAGCAGCATTAAATTAATTAAAAAAGAGCTTAATTTCACAAACTAGTGGAAATTTTACCAAAAAATCTTGAATGTAATAAAAGCTAAATCTATCATGCAGTCAAACTACTCCTAAAAAGACCAATAAATATAAGTACTTGCTTCCTACCTCAGGAGTTAATAAGAAATATTTCCATATAAGCTTGTTAGTTTAGCTCAAAATGTTCAGTCAGTTGCTGAACAATTCAAAAAATGTATTCATTTTCAAAGTAAACCGAACAAAGAACCTGTTTCTGCTGCTGCAGCAGCTTAGCTGACAGCTTGTCTATAAGGCAGTTATAGACCCAATCTTTTTAGTGCTGGCTAACTTAATTATAAAATGTTTCCACTGCTGCCAGAGAAAAAAAAAGAAACCCTGTTGGAAAAAGGCCTAAATGTGGAAGGAATACCTGAAATGTAAGCCTCTTCTACATATTTATATATCAGACTTTCACCGGGTTTATTGCTGATCATCGGGTTTGGAGCTCTACATTCTGCGTTTTCCTGATCTCCATCCATTGTGCCCTTCTAAGCTAGTGTTTCATCATGGCTGCAGTGGAAACACGTGGCTTACACTTAGTGTCACAGGACAGCAATCAGAGAGTTCACAGAGAGGGCTCTGATCATGAATGGTAATTTAATTGTAAGCAGTTAAAGAAATAAAGATAAGATGGACTGATGGAAGGTTCCCACAGATGTCAAACAGCAAGGTAGGTTTTTTTTAATTATTAAATATTTTCCCTTATCTAGGTGAATCATTTGTGTTGAAAATGTGCGACACATCTTACAGTGTCTGGCAACATGTGCTGCACACTATTCCTCTCATCTTAAAGGTAAAAGCTCTTACCCAGCTTGACCTCAGCGTTTTCAGTCAGCAGCACATTTTGTCCCTTGATGTCACGGTGGATCACGTGATGAGCGTGTAAGTGTGCTAACCCCTGCACAAACACACCATTAAAAATAATATCACACAAACGTATCTCCAAAAAACATTTCATATGTGTACGTTATGTGGAAACTCATGAGGTATTAAACGTTTCGGTTACAAACCCTGAGGATCTCCCTGGAGATGTAGGCGATCCAGTCCTCCTTCAGAGTGTTGCCCTTGGTGTTTTTCACCAGATCGGTGATTGAGCCGGCACCACAGAACTCCATGACGAGCTGAAGGAGAGAAAAATACAATCCAAAATGATCTACCACTGCTTAGATAGACCAACTACAACTCTTACCTTTTTTTTTTTACTAAAACGTCTACAAACATTTCAAGAAGCCACATTATTACAAACATCCTTAAACGCAGTGAGGATCTTATTGCAGCTGAAACTGAACGGAAAAATCTTTTCCAACCCATTTAAAATATGCAGCGACTGACAGACGAAGGCAAAAGTTTCACCTAACTGGCACCAAGCTGCCTCTGTGTTTAATCCTAATTGGCTGAAATATGAATCAAATGGTCAAATGTTTGCAAAATTCTGACTGGTGCATATTTACTGATGAAAGAAGAAGCATTAACCTGGGAGAAATCAATAAATAATAGACATCCATTTGAATTACAGTGCATTATATTTTTATAGGTAGGATTTATATTTCATAGTCCTAATTAGTTACTATGACTTTCTGAAAATGTGAAAACAGAAATAAACACTGTAAGGTTCTACTACTGACTTGTATGTCTGGGTCAAGCAGTTCCTTGCAAAACTAAACAGAAAACTTTTCACTAATAGTTCATTATAGCCTGAAAATTCTGCATAAAATAAACTTAGATCAAGCTAACTGCTCATCAAAGCACAAGTGATATCTATTTAAGTAGAAGCTTTAGGTTTGAATCCGTCATGAAGTTTTCTTCCCTTTTTCACCAATAAGCCGCAGTTCTAAAGCATTCCAGAAACATTCATCCAGAAACGCCGTTATTATCTGAAGCATTCAGGTACCAGATTCAGGAGACTTCTTTAAATCGCCTCTTTTGTCAAATCTGAAGGCCAGTGTGTTAAACATTATGTAAACACAGCTGCTCATTTTCCGGGTCATTTAATTGGAGTTGCTTGTCCTGATGAGCGGTGCTACATCATATTCTTTCTTTTTTGACCCAAATGCTTTAAACCTAGTAATAAGAATACTTCCAGATGCATTTTTATTCACCTTTTCTCTTTGCTTTCTTATTCTCTCTCCTGTGTGTAGACAGATATTCCCCTGCAACTTTCTTTCAACTTTTATTTCCAGCTTAGAGGCCAGATCCAGAAAAGCTTTGCCATTCGTGTTTAGAATGGTTTAAAAAACAAGTACACACGTCTATATGATAGAAATGTGTATAATGATCCACATTTCGTTTCCATTTATTTCAGTTAAACCTTTATTAGAACAACTCCCTGAATTTCTGCAGACATGCTCTCTGTGTATACACATGATGAACACGTTGCCTTAAACGCGCTTAAAGTGCTTCCACTCAAGGGACAGATCACATCTTAAGAGACGGTTGGTAGAAAATATAATTATCATAAAAGTAACATGCACCCAGGTCTTTTTGTGGAAACCGTTAAACGTGGTTAAAGAAGCAGCTGTAAAAAAAACAAAAAAAAAACACAGGGTCTTGGTGCACGGAGGACCAGCTCTACCATATTTAAAAATAAATACATAAATAAATAAATGTTCAATAAATAACTAAGCATACAATTAAATTTAGGTAGAAATTAAATCATGTAGTGAGACATAAATGTATATATTTATATATCTCTTTTAATTAGCTTTATTAATTCGCCTTTGTAATAATTACTTTATTCATTTATTGTCCGTTATAATCTTCAACTTTATTTGTTAATTTTTTATGTTATAATATTTTTGACTGTTTTATTCTTCCTTTGTATTTTTTAACCTATTAATTTCTTCCATGCTATTTATTTCTGCCTGTCGTTTTTACATTTCTGTTTGCATTTCTGCCTCATTATGCAAATGAGGAAGGCATCCCTAAAGTTGGTCTTCGAGGCCTGCTGTCCTGCAGGTTTTAGAGGTTTCCTTGCTTCAGCACAGCTGATTTTAATTGATAGCTGATTAACAGGCTTTTGCTCAACTCCAATCATCATATTCAGCTGTGCTAAATCAGGGAAACCTCTAAAACCTGCAGGACAGCGGCCCTTGAGGACAGACTTTGGGGATGCCTGTCTTAGTGGGTCACCTTCTGCCCACCCATTTATGTCTCACTGTATAATTTAATTTCTACCTAAATTTATTTGTTTATTGCATTCTTGGGGACAATTAATTGTATGCTTATCTGGTGTATATCATATCAAAACTACTTTTTACCCTCTTATAAGAGAAAATATAGCACATCTGCTCTCTGCCATTAAACACATGAGCAGCAGAAGCACCGGAAGCATGTGGACACACTGTGCCTCGATGTGGTCAAGCATCGAAAATGAAGCAGCAGAAGCGTTTTTGCTGCTTCCAGCACTTGCGGTCTGAACGTATAGCATTAATCATTAAAATAAGCCAAGTGACTCTTTCAATTTCATCCGCCATTGTTACAGGCAAAGAAAGGATAGGGCAGCTCCGCCCAACGCGCATCAGACCCACTTTTTGAACGTGTAGCTGGAGCAGCAGAGATGCTTCAGCTGTCTGAATGTAGCTTTACTGTCTGACTCACATGTTATATCTCCATTTTTTTCCTCCCTGTGTTTATCGACTTAGACACTGAAAACAAACGACGAGGCGACGTTGCCATCGATCAGAAAAGCCAAGGGCAGGTATGAATCCACAGTTAGGTGCTGCTGATTATTCATTAAATATTTCTACACAAATATATCTTTTCTGTTTTTTAAATTTTTTTTAAAGTTTTATTGTACTGTTGGCTTTTACCGTTTCATTATAACAATTTTATTATATTTTTTATCTTTATACATACAATGGTCTTATTCTGCTTTTATTTTTATTCTTGGTACGGAGTTTTATATATACTGTGTGTATTTATATATCTATGGAAAAATATATATTTATATTTATATTGTGGAGTAAAAAATGTTGAGATATGTCTGATCTTAGCCTCACAGGTTCCAAATGAAGGTCATGAGAGATAAGAATGCTTTACTCAGCTTCCTTCATGGCATGAAGGGTTTTGAGGAGATCCAGTGAAAGATTTATTAACCTAACAGGGAATGGCCTTGATGAACTCAAGTTGTTTTGCTTCAATGTTCAAGTGTGAGAAAGTTCTTTATGCAGGGGGCGGGTTGGTTTCCCTGGGGGGAGTGTGTGTGTTGGGATTTTGTAAGGTATAAATGTGTTTACTCAGGATGCTTCAGTCAGAGCTCTATCTTTCCGTCTGAAGACCTTAAATAAATTTGAACCTTTTTTCTTGCAAGAAATGCCTCTGCCTCAGCTTCTTAACTCCACAATATAAACACACACCAGGGGTGTAAATCCCACCTATGATGGCGATTCGATTCAGAATCAATTTATGAACCAATGATTTGATTATTTTCGATACTCAAGAATACAGCACAATATGATTGGATTAATTATTATTATAAATTTTTTTAAATTTTTTTTACCTTACAGGCTAGACAATGTTTTAAATTTGAAATAAATCAATGAAAACTGTAATACCGTTATGCCTTTTATTTGAAAAGCAACAGAAAATGACAGAAGTAGCAAAATTGTACTCCACCTAGACCTATGAAAACCTCATTCACAGAAGAAAAATATTGCCTCTGTGTTTACGCGAGTGTGTGTGAAAGCAGAAAGAGGGTAGTGGCTAAAGGAAGCGAGGTAGGAGGGCAAAATAGGTTTAGCGCCACCGCAGCACGGGAGTCCGAATTACGTCCAGGAACAGAAAGAAAAACATGAATCGATACTCTTGCAGACGTGTCGATGCATCGGATCGTCGGCCTGGATCGATGTATCGATACAAAACGATTATTATTTACACCCCTAACACACACACACACACACACATATATATATATATATACATATTTGTATTTTTAGTTATTGCTACAACAGTTATGAACCATGTTCTGAATTAGTCCTGGTCATGATCTATTTGCATAGTATACCATATATGGTGTGATTATATAGATATGGTGTGATCCAGCAGATTATATATACCATAATCTGCTGGATTTTACTGATGTATTTTCAGATAAATCTGTGGCAGTCGAGCTTCAAATAATTCAAGGGATTCAACTACATTCATTGCTTAGTGCTGAATTTATTTTTACGTCACTGCAACACAAAGCTGTTGCATAATAGAGTGATGAGGTAAAAGTAAGGCAAGTCATGAGGTGAACTCACCCAGAGCTGGTCATCGTGGCCTGGTGGACTTTTCTTGATGAAGGCTCCATAATATGTGGCTATATTTCTGTGATGGGAATACTTCTTCAGCATGTTGATTTCCAGCTTGATTTCCTCCTCTTCATCCTAAAAAACAAAAACCAGTTGAAGTCATGAACGCATAAAATGATTTCCTGTATTTCTGATAATGTAAATAAAGAGACACAAGAATTAAAATGCAGATTTAAATATTATTGTGATTTCAGATGGATGGAGCTAGTTTGAGCTCGTTCTTCCCTTCTGTCTGGCAGCAACCCCCCTTTAAACACATTACTGTCACCTAAAGTGCTAGACAACAAAAGGTAGTTTATTACTCCTGTTAAATGTCATGTGACCATAAATGAAGTCCCTTTGTTAAATGAAGATTATATTTTCAAAAATTGATTATACTGCAAAAGCAATACATTTTCCAGCCCTAAAATAAAAAAAAATCCTTGCTCTTGAGGTGAAAACATGAAAATAGGGGTGAAAATATAAAAGATTTGTATAAAAATAGATGTTTCAAGATCATATAACAGATTTAAAAAATGGCTGATAATACTAATGTTTTTCTAACTTTTGCATCATCGAAATTCCCATTTATGGATCTAGAGAAAAAACCTCAAACCCAACGCTTCTTTTGCTTAAACTCAGGCGAATAAGCGCCTTTACAAAAAAAAAAAAAATATGTAAATGATTTTACGATACAAGCTAGATATATTTCTTGAATGTCCTGTACAACAGCTTTCAATGGTCTCATATAAGCATTCTGAATCTCATTCACTGTAATCTAACATGGATCCAGTAACAGAATAATTTGTGACTACAGCCTTAAACCTTCCATCTTGGGCTCCTGTTAGGTAATGTGGAGTCATGCAGTGCTCATAAAAGCGTGACTACATCTTTAATTAAGTTGCAACAAAGAAAAAAACAGTTATTCTTATATTAAAGCAAACAGTGCTTTACACATGACTACATTAACTGGACCTATTCTTCTCCAAATCAGGCTTGTTCTACTTTGGTGAATTAGACAGAAAATTGTTGCCCTCTTTTGTTCAAATGCTCAAAAAGACAAAAAAAAAAAGAAAGAGATCCTTTTTTTTTTTTTTTCAGCGTGTTTATGGAAAATTGGTCCAAGCAAGGAACCAAACTGTGTGCCGTCATTCAAAACAAACCCAGCTGGAACTCAGAACAGACCCAAACAAGCGGGTCACAGGCTTGGAGTATTATATACAACATAATGAGATCAAGTGATTATTCCTCCATCATTCCCACGTCACTGAACCTTAGTGCCAGTTTTGAGTGCTTCCCTTCAGCCAAGCTTGGTCAACTGAACTTACAATCATGACATGACGTTTTCCCATCTTTGGCAGCTGTTGTATTATCTGGAGCACCAGAAATACCAGCTGCACTGCTGAGTAAACTGTTTCATCAGCCAGCGCCAACTAAGAAAATAACAAAGAAAATTTTGGGATTTTCACATCATTCCTCCTGCAGTTTTTCAGGATTGATGTGAGTTTCATACTGACACCTCTTCAGTGGAAAATATATTTTTGTACAAGTGAACCACACAGTGAAACCAAATATAGACAAACGGTACCGTCTTATTACCAAAGGTTGGTCCTTTGATGCGAGACTCATATTGTCATGATCTCAGCGCTGATGTCGGGTCTGATTACTCATTTCCAACATCTGCTTAGCTCTGCCAGTTATTGTTAGCGCTTATCTGATCTGTCTGCTTCAGTCTCTATTTAACAAGTCTCCAGACCAGTCATCAGTGCCAGGTTATTTCAGCATCCCTGTGTTCTGACTACCTGATCCTGACCTGTTCTGCCTCTTGATCCCTGAGCCAGCCTGTCCCCATCTGATCTGTTTGCCTGACCTGTCTTCTGATTCCTGCTTGATCTCTGCCTGCTTGTGAACCAACCGGAATAGTCTCCCGACCCCTGAGCCTACCTGCCCTTGTCTAGCCTGTCAGCCGCACTGTGTTCTGTCGGCACCTCCCCAGATCTCTGGCCTTCGTGCTCTGACAACCGACCACGTCACCGACTTTTTCCCTCTCTGGATCATCCTGCCTACATTAGTCTGCTTGGTTCTGATCTCCTACCTGTCCTCCGACCACCAACACATCAGTGTCTGGAACTCTCTATGCAGCGACCGCAACGCCACGTTGGCAACCAGCCCTCTACCTCTGAATTCAGACTGAACTATAAGACCAGGTTAGTGACTCACACGTTCGTGATCATCCACTTCCCGAAAGACATGGTCACTAATCTGCTGTCTCCCCCAGCAGAGGTTCCTGCCTTACACACCAACGCCTCTACCCCGATTCTGTTTTCAATAAACGTTCTGAGAAATCTGTTTTTCCTCCTTGAATACTGGATCCTTCAGCTATGAGCCTGACAGATATGGGTAGCTGATCAAAATGTAAGAATACAATATCTTGTTGCCATTTATAAAACTGCATTACTCCATAGTTAAATTATACAGTCCATAGGCGTAACTTCCTTAAGGACTGGTGTGGACATGTCCCCACCAATCTTGACCGGTAGGGGGACAGTCCCCACCAATATTTTGTACAATATTTTGCTTTCGGTGCTGTGTATATCTGATTAAAACCCCATTCATGCCGCTCCTCAGAAAGAAAATAAAAAAAGTTCTCCCCGCTGCTCACCGTCCACAAACCCCGACAAAAAACTCAGAAAAAAGAATCTGTTGCCTCTCGCTTTCGCCCCATCACCCCCCTCCGCCCTCTCCCCATAACACCTGTCGCTTCCCTCCAACAATGCTAACCCATTCAAGGACAGCAGTGGACTCAGACTTGCAGGTGAGAGGGACTTGTGGAAATATTAAGACCTAATTTTAGTCAGGAGAGACTTAAAGTAGTAAAAGAATAGAGAATAGTGTAAAAATAAGTTAATACCGTATTTAAAATATAACTGAACCGATAGCCTATGATGGGTTAACGGGTCAGGTTGCGGGTTAAATATCAACGGGTCGGGTTCGGATTTGAATTGAAGATATCCGCGGGTGACGGGTCGGGTTCGGTAGTCATCCTAACGGTTTCGGGCGGGTGTGGGTTGGTAAAACTCGACCCATGCAGGTCTGTAAGCTACACTACATTCAGTATCGTTGCCATAGAAACAGACAACAGCGCCAATATATCAGAATTATACTAAAACACACGCAAATAATTTCCCACATAAAAAACAGGACTTTCAGTCCATTACAGTTTTCCGTTTTTAGAGGGTTGTTTATTTTGCGTTTATTAAGTGATGGCTGTGGTATATTAGCTTTCACTGCTATAAGCTTTCGCAGCAGTGATTGATTAATTTAAACACCTGCTCTACTGATGGTCTATCGGAGTTGGTGTTTAGGTTGAACATAAAGAACAACTTTTATTTGAAGCTTCTTGTAGCTACTGTTTTAATCCCGGCTTCACTTAAAACTTTTTCCTGACTTTGATAGTGTTGCCATTCAGTAGCAAGCACTGCACCCCTTTTTCTTTTATATGTACACGTACATTTAAGATTTAGCGTGTTATGTTGACAACTCATGAGCAAGCTGCTTTTTGCAATCTAGCAGGAAGGTAATGATAGGATCTTGCAGGTGTGACGTCACTCTGCAGGGGGTCCAAAGATAAAAAATTTAAACAATTTTGGCATTGGAATTTCAGATTTAAGGGAGTTAGAAGTTCACTTAGTAAAAGTGCAAAAAATAAATCTGATTACCGATTACTTTTAAGCTGGTTGAACATACAGACTGGTGACCTGTCCAGGGTGATCCCACCTCTCACCCAGAACGTGGCTGGAGATATGCACCAGCACCTCCTGATCCCACTGAGGGATAAGGTTAAAGAAAATGGATGGTTGAACATAGTCCGCTCTCCCAGATTCTATCAAATCAGTATTGATACCCTCAGGGGCGGATTTAGGAAATTTGGGGCCCTAGGCAAAGACAGGCAGGGGGCCCCCTGAGAAGAAAACCCATAAAACAGACCCATTCTACAGATAGAGAAATGTTAATAGAATAGGCATCCATTATTTGTTCTAGGTTTTGTCCCTCTCTTCTTGTCCCTTTTTCCTCTCTATTTATCAGCGTTCTGATGGCATTTTAGCCAAAGGATTTTTATCAAAAACATAATTAATGTGCACAAATAAGGATTAGTTGTATTAACCATACATGGAAACAGAGTTTTATGGGGCCCCCAGGAACTTGGGGCCCTAGGCAACTGCCTAGTATTGCCTAATGGTAAATCCCCCCCTGGATACCCTGCTGGTGAATGTTCTTGACAGAAAGACGGAGTTGCTTAATCATATTCTGCTTAAGGCCCCATAAGATCTTGTCCGAGTCCTGGTTTGAAAGTAAATTAGTTTTAAAAAGTGACCCAAAATTGACTGTCAATAAATGTTCTACAAAATTGATATATTTATTTGATTTCTTTGATTTGTACTGTCTGTTTAGATTTATGTGATATTTTTTGCACAAAATATATAAGTGAATATTGTAACAGTTATGTTTTCATTAAATTGATAAATGTTATTCGCATTTTTTTGGCTTTATCCTTTCCAACAACAAAAAAAAGGCGTCGCGCAGGTAGCTCCCTTTCCTTATGAGCCGTCCCCACCAACTTTCAACACAAAGTTACACCCTTGATACAGTCACTTTATAAGAGAGTCAGAAGGATTGAAATGATTTGTAAACTCACAACCATCATCAAGATGTTATACCAGGAGAATGCTTTAAAGGCCAACCTGTGTTTGAATGACTCTATCACTTCCTATGCAAAGATGCAGGAAGAAAACCACGGCAACTAAAGAAAACACTCTGATTTGCAGCTTAAACAGATTGAACACAAGCTCTGTGTTGAATTAGGTAACATCAACGCATGCTTTGAGGTGTTTTCTCGTTAACAAAAAGACCTTGTATTGACCAGTTTGACTGCAAACTATTGCATGAGGTTGATAACAACAACTTACTGTAGTCAAAAAATAAAAAAAAATGGCATCTGGCTGCCCCAACAGTCGGTTATGTGCGAGTCTTTCCCCCCTGAGGGTTCTTAGACTAACCCAGTCTGTTCCCAAACCTTTTATCTTTAGTCCCCTCCA